CCCACTTACCTTGCCAAAAAAAAGTCTTCCGTCTTGGCAAAAGTTGAAAAAAATAATAAGAAGAAGAGAAAGACAATTGATTAGTTTTTATTTTTATTTTTTATGTACATTAAATGTGGCAATATATATAATAAAACAATGCATGGTAAAACATAAAATTAATAATAAAACAATGCATGATCAAAACATAACTAATGAGCTACCCTACCAATAGGGGGTGTGGGGGTGACACGTACCTTGGAAAAAATAGAAAATTGATGTGATTAGAGCATGAAAAAAATATATATAATTCGAGCATGGGTAAAACAAGCAGTGCTAAAAAACATGGATTATGAATTATGTGAAAAAAATAATAAAACAATGCATTATCAAGACATAACTAATGAGTTATTCTACCAATAGGGGGTGGGGGTGACATGTACCTTAGAAAAAAGAAAATTGATGTGATTAGATCAAGGCAAAAATAATACTTATATATATAGAGAGTATAAATTTAATTAATAAATATTTTTTTATAATTTGTGCAACTCCAAAACGGACTCTTTTTCTCCCTCACCATGAGGATGACTGTTTTTATATTTATTGTATCGTGCAATATAAATCAGAGTAGTATGGTATAATTCTAATTTTAATTATTTGGTTTTGAATTTTATTAGGTAATTGGCGCAGTATGGTATAATTTGAATTTGAATTATTAGGTTTTGAATTTTATTAGATAATTTGAAAGTGGTGATTGAGTTTGAGTTGGATTTTATTAGGTAATTTATAATTTAAATTAAACTCTTTTTATATTTTGCTAATATGAATTTTATTAGGTAATTTTTAATTTGAATTAGACTCTTTTTATATTTTGTTAATTTAGTATAGTATAATTTTAATTTTAATTATTAGGTTTTAAATTTTATTAGGTTTTGAATTTTATTAGGTAATTGGAGTAGTATAGTATAATTTGAATTTGAATTATTAGGTTTTGAATTTTATTAGGTAATTTGAAAGTGGTGATTGAGTTTGAGTTGAATTTTATTAAGTAATTTATAATTTAAATTAAACTCTTTTTATAATTTTTTAATTTGAATTTTAGTAGGTAATTTATAATTTGAATTAGCCTTTTTTTATATTTTGTTAATTTGAATTTTATTAAGTAATTTTGAGTTTTATAGAATTTATATCAATTAATAAATAAATACTGAAATATAGATATAGATTTGAATTTTATTAAGTAATTTATAATTTGAATTAGACTATTTTTATATTTTGTTAATTTGAATTTTATTAGGTAATTTTGAGTTTTATAAAATTTATATCAATTAATAAATAAATACTGAAACACTGAAACTCTTTACACATTTAATAATAATATAATATATATTTTTAAACCCAATAAGCTTTCAACTATCATTTCACTTATCTATTTTTTTTTCCCTCCTTCAATGCAATGGTTTTTAAAACGCTATGAGCCCGAATGACTCTTTCACTTTAAGTTTGAATAATTTTTAAAAGAATTTACAAAATAAATATATATATATATAAAATAATTAAAGTGGTCAGCCCAATAAACACCATACCTACTAGTGGCCACTTAAAATGAAGGGCTAACATAACTCTCTATTCTTTAAAAGTAGAGAATCAAAAGTGGATAACCATACAAGACGTTTTTATATTTATATATGGCATTTTATCATGTAATGTTTTTTTTTTTTTTAACATTATATATTGTCAGGTTAGTTTCATTTTTAAAACAATAATAATAAAATAAAAAATATAATAATATTATCATGTTCAATGTATCCCTTGAATAAACTTCTTCACTCCCTCATTGATCACATTTAAAATCTATTGGTGAGGAAGTATCAAACCTTGATGGGGACAATATTTCACCTTACAGGTGCTTGTCAGTGATCCATATTTTTTAATAGAGTTTATATTATTTTTATTATTATTATAATTGTTAAGTAGTTTAGTTTAGGTTTTAAATTTTTTTCTAAAATTAGTTTCTTTATTTATTTAGTTTACTGAAATAATTAGTTTACTTTATAATTTTAGAGTTTTATTTATTATAAAAATATGTACTGCAATAACAAAAGAAAGATCAATCAATTTTATTAATAAAATATCATATTTTTCTCTGAATTCAAGACTTGTGAAGGAATTTATCGTTTCGTTGTGTCAATAAATAATCAATGTACAAATCATTCACATTTTTTTCCTTTTCCTGATTTTACTGAATTCTTAGTGACTCAAGTGTAACTAACATTGCCGACTTAATAGTATTAAATAAGAAAAAAAAACTTTGCCGACTTCATTTCTGAAAAAAATTAAAACTTTGATTAAGGATATTTGGGTTCATTTAAATTAGTTTTCTGAGAGTAGAATTACTAGAGAACAATAGGAAATAGAAATTCCAAAATATCAGTTGGCAATTTTTAAAAAAACAACTTCGAAATAAGAGTTAAATTTTTTAAAAATATCCCTTTATAATTATCTGAAAAATTGTTTTAAAATATTCATAGAATTCATGAAATTAAACAGTTTCTGCTACTTGGCAATGGCATCAAACTTTGACTATTAACCACTCAATTAAGCGCCAATTAATTCTGTAGACCGGTCATGATCATTAAACTACCAGGCCAGCCGATTGATGATTTTATTTCCATTTTTGGTGAAACAAATCAAGATATGCAGGCAAGGTCTTGTGATTTTGTTAATCCTTTGCCAACCTCCTTACTAGTTATATACATACATATGCACATGCATATATATATATATGTGTGTATCTATGGAAAAATAACATTTCTCTGCGTCGGTAAACACAGACTAGACACGTCCCCTTGTAGGGTGTTGCCGACTCGTCAAAATAGCGCTTTTCATATATGTAAGACAAGTAATGCTATAATATTTGATCATTTATTTGTGTGACTTCAATAAATAGTGTTTAACAAATATTCTGAATTTAAGATATAATATCTCCCCTCATATATTTTGTGTCTCAATTGTTGTAACTGTGGGACAGTCTGACGTGTGCTATGGTCACACCTTTGAGTGATCCAGATTGTCCATGATAGTATAACATATGTAGTGAGTATATTTTAATAATTATCACAAGTTTGAAGAAAAAATAAATAAATAAATAAAAAATAAAAAAAATTTAATTGATAAGAACATCTATCATTTTTCATATATATCCAATTAAATTTGGAACGCGTTATTATCATTCATTTACAAGCAAAATTGACCTTTGTGATAGGGGGTCCTTTATAAACATTCTCTTCTCACAAGTAAACCCTAAAATGGATAACGTACATCCCTCAAAATATCTATGTCTACTTCTAGTTGGTATAATACTCCCAACTTTATGTACATAGCTACGCATATATATATATAATGGTCATTACCAAAAACCCTAAAATAGATATGAGCATCCTCAAAATATCTCCCCCTGCTACGTACTAATATAATCATTCAAAATATCTACCTCTGCTTCTACTATAGTAATTGTGTAACATTTAATTACTTTGTTTTGGGAAAAGATATTGGTGACATTTATTGTGTAGACGAGTTTCGAAATTCCTTAGTATAAAGAGCGTGCAAAACGAATACTTTCTCTATCCCAAAAGAGTATAATTATGAAATTTTTCCAACCTGCCAACAATAGCCTCCTCCCATTTTTTTAGTGTCCTTTATTGCCCTAACATTGAGCATGCAAAACGAATAATATCTAGAATAGATAATGTACACCCCTCAAAATATCTACGTCTACTTATGATTGGTATAATACTTGCAACTTTATGTACATAGCTACGTATATATATAATGGTCATTACCAAAAACCCTAAAATAGACATGAGTATTATCCCTCAAAATATCTTCCCCTGCTACTAATATAATCATTCAAAATATCTACCTCTGCTGCTATAATAATCGTGTAACATTTTACTTTGGTTTGGGAAAAGATGTTAGACATTCTTACGTACGTGGAACAATTTTTATATATGTAGACAAGTTTCGAAAAATCATTAGTACGAAGAGTATACAAAACGAGATACTTTCTCTGTCGCAAAATAGTTGTTCACCATAAAAATCGAAAGAGTTATATTTAAATTCTAAAATTCTTCCAACACGCGATCCTTTACTGCCCTAATCTTCCTCACAAGAATGTCTTGACCTGCCAGCAATAGCCTCTCTTCCCAATTTTTTTTATTTATTTTAGTGTCTTTTGTTGCCCTAACATTGAACGTGCAAAACGAACAATATCTAAACAAAAATCACGGTAACTTAGAATATATATATAATATTATATAATAGTGTCATTACAAAGACCAAAAACTTGCTAGTGCTTGAGAAATTCAAAAGAAGTGTCCAATAAGCAAGCAAATGGGTCACCACCAAAACCACTTATCATCTTCAACGTTTCCAAGGGGCATGGGTTCATTTTCCCACCTTCCACAGGAAAATTCACTTCCTGTAGTGGTTGATTGTCCTTGATTTTCTTTTCCAGGAAAATACTAGCTTTCCTGGAAATTGAAGGAAAGAGGGTGACACAAAATTAATTACCCAGCAGCCTATTAACACAACGATTGTAAAATCAAAGAACAAGAAGATCAAGTACTCTTTCCTTCTATTCCTCAAGCGGACGTAAATGCTTGAATCATGACGATACGCAATTGATCACGACGAAGCAAAAACGCATTGATTGTGTTCTTTTTGTGTTGACTGTTGTTTTCAAACGTTTGAATTTTTGAACTAGACTTTTCCCTTCGTGTTCCTACGTTATTTTAGTTTCAATTTTATCATACTAATCAATAGTTATGTCTATTAATTGAAAATTAAAATTATGAAAACTTTCTAAATTAATCAAATTCGTTAAATTTGATCATATTCCATAAAATATATATGGTGCCTCTGTAAATGGAATACTTCAATAATTTACCAATTCAATTCCATCATTAAAGTTTAGATGCATAGTCAAGTGTTCACACACGTTAATAGTTGGTGAGGCACTGAGACCACTAAGTGGTCCTATTTTTATTATGTTTTTTTTTTTTTTGTGTAGTGTTATAAAGTATTCAGATTTACTTCAAAATAAATTAAAGTATTTTTTTTCTTCTTCTTTTTTTCGGGTATTTAAATTTAGACGCCAAGAATAAAGAAAAATTTGTCAGTCATGACTCTCATGATGTCATTTTCCGTGGTCTAACTAGTTCTATAAATAGTCGAAGTATTTTATCATTTCTCTCACTGCATTGGTTGAGAAAACACAATACCATACATTGTATTGTATTCCAAGTATTCTTTTAAAAAAAAAATAGAAGATAATGGCGGGTTTCACTACTGAGAATCACCAGCTTCTGTCTAAGATAGCCATGACCGATCAACACGGCGAGAACTCGCCTTACTTCGATGGATGGAAAGCGTACGACAATGATCCTTTTCACCCTACTGAAAACCGTAACGGGGTTATTCAAATGGGTCTTGCAGAAAATCAGGTTTGGTGCATAATATATATATATATATATATACAGTTATACACACACACATTCATTTCTATGTTGTGCCTCATTTAACAATGCAAGCTCAAATTTTAAATTTTGTTTTTTGGTTGGATTTTATTCGCAGCTTTGTTTCGACTTAATTGAGGACTGGATTAAGAAAAACCCAACAGCATCCATCTGCACCATTGAAGGAGTCAATAACTTCAAGGACATAGCTAACTTTCAAGACTACCACGGCTTGCCTGAGTTTAGAAAGGTATAATGAAATGCCATGCAGTACTGCAATGATGACTTACATAAATTACCTGCAATCATACTAAAGTCACACATCTATATAAACACTAAGGTCACACACACAATTAACTACATATGTATATGTGTATCATCATTCTTAGGAATATAGTACTATATATAAAGGTAAAACCATTTTTTTTTTTTTTTTTTGGGAATGGTAGTGATATGATGTGCATTTTGGTATGTTTTTTCAGGCGGTGGCGAAGTTTATGGGGAGAGTGAGAGGAGGAAGGGTGACATTCGATCCAGACCGTATAGTAATGGCTGGTGGAGCCACCGGAGCTAATGAGCTGATCATGTTTTGTTTGGCTGATCCCGGGGACGCATTTTTGGTTCCCTCTCCTTATTATCCAGCGTATGCATCGATCAGACTAATTCTTTCTGCATTCTTATTGTTATCAACATGCATTTCCCAAAAAAAAAAAAAAAAATTTGCAAAATTCAATTATTCCATCTTATGCCTGAAGTTCTTGCTTTTCATTCTTGGTTGTGCATAGAAGGTCGTCCTGTTGCTTTTCATGCATTTGTGGATAATCTTTTTCATAGCCATTCTTGGATGAATTTAACCAAACCTATTACTTATTTTCATTCTTTTTTTCTTTTAGCTAGATCTAGAGAGAGAGATCAATTTAATTAATTAAATGTTAATGTAATAGATTAACAAAGTAATTAATAAACAACTATATATTGGAACCAAAATATAGAATTAAAGTAAGAGATCTTATTCTTTTCTCCTTCTTTTCTTTCATACATATTTTATGAAAGCCAAAGTCAAAGGAATAATATTTCTGATCTGCCACTGAGTATAATCAACCATACAAATTTTATATTTAGTTGGTCAAAATCACACTTTTGGAATTGAATACCTCTACCGAAAAGCCTTTAGCGGCAGGCAAGAAATTTTTTTTTTCGGAAGTTGGCAGGCAAGAATTTCTTTAAACTTGGGAGACAAGGAGCTCCATTTTTTCTCAGTACTGACCCCACCTTTTCTTTTTGAATCATCGAGCCCAGATCATGCCTGTACTAATATTGCAAATTTTCAAAGTCTCAACCTAATGCAGTTAATTAGTCCAATGCGTGCTCTTGTGATCCAGCAGGAAACCAAGTCAGAATAATGGAATTTAGGTTCACCATTTGACCACTGACCAGTTGATATGCAGAATTTTTTAGTATTAGAAAAGTAACGACTATCTTAATTTTCAACAAAAAAAAAAAGGAAAAAAAAAAAGAAAAGTAAATGACTACTTACATGACTTGACCATTAAGTAATTATCGTTGACATCCAACCCTCTTCGGACTCTGTAAGAGTAAGAGTTTCGTGTACTGATTTAATCGACTTTTACTTAAATTTATTCTATTAGTTTTACTTATAGTTTTGTGTTTTATTTCAGATTTAATCGCGATCTGGGATGGAGAACCGGGGTGAAGCTAATTCCAGTTATCTGCCATAGCTCTAACAATTTTCAGATCACCAAAGAAGCACTAGAAGAGGCATATGAGAAAGCCAAAGAGGCTAACATCAAAGTGAAAGGCTTGATCATAACAAACCCTTCAAACCCTCTTGGCATTGTGTTAAGTAAAGAAACACTTAGAAGCGTGGTGAGCTTCATTAATGAAAAGAGCATCCACCTTGTCTGCGACGAAATCTATTCAGCCACTGTCTTCAGCCTCCCTAACTTCGTAAGCACTTCTGAGATCATCCAAGAAATGGAATGCATTAATCGCGACCTCATTCACATCATCTACAGTTTGTCCAAGGACATGGGCCTCCCTGGCTTTAGGGTCGGAATAGTTTACTCATACAATGATGCTGTGGTGAGTTGTGGACGAAAGATGTCAAGTTTCGGATTAGTCTCTTCGCAGACACAGCACTTGCTGGCGTCCATGCTCTCTGACGATGAATTTGTAGGGAGATTTCTCGCTGAGAGCGCGAAGAGGCTAGCGAAAAGGCACAAGATCTTCACTGAGGGACTTGAACAAGTGGGGATCACTTGTTTAAAAAGCAATGCAGGCCTTTTTTGTTGGATGAACTTACGGCAGCTGCTGAAAGAACAAACACTTGAAGGTGAAATGGAGCTATGGCGGGTGATAATCAACAATGTGAAGCTCAATGTCTCTCCTGGCTCGTCTTTCGAATGCAATGAGCCTGGTTGGTTTAGGGTTTGCTTTGCGAACATGGATGATGCCACGGTTGAAGTTGCACTGAAAAGAATCCGACAATTTGTGCGCTGCCAAAGGAAGGAGGGAGAGGCAGTAACGGGAAAGAGTAGTTGGCGATTGCAAAAGAATCTGAGGCTTAGCTTCTCATCAAGAATGTGCGATGAGGGTTTTATGTCACCGCGCATGGGGTCGCCCCACTCCCCCATCCCTCACTCACCGCTGGTTCGAGCCAGGAATTAATTAAGCTATAATTAAATACCATCTCTATGCATGTATTAGTAATTAATTTGTTAATTGTGTGTACTTAGAATTGAGTTGATCCGTTAATTTAATTATCTGTACTTAGCTGTTAATTTATAATCATGTAGAAATAATGACACTAGGATGCGACTTGCACCTTGATATGTTCCATAAATGAAATTAATGTGTTTTTAAAGAGTGCGCGCATATATATATATATACACAAAGAGAAAGCGATATATATACATCTGTATTAAAGGTAAAATTGTGTGCATGGAATTTTCCTCAAACTACTTTATAATGAGAGTGTGCAAAATTTTCTATTTTTTGGATGTAATTTGGACCAAGCCTACGTCGGACCAAACATGAGTAGTAGTTTTTGAAAAATGAAACTTGTCCGAATTTGGACCAAACATCACTGCTGGTCTTGTAAGTTGTAACAGTAAAAAGTTAAAACAACTCTCACAGAGTAAGAGGAGATTGCTGAACCATATAGCTGAAATTGGTTAAAGTGGGACCACCTGTACGCGGATCGACGCACCAACTCAGAGCTTAAACCAAACAACATGGCGGATTGTAGTTTGCTTACTATATGGTGTACGTATACACATTTTAACACACAATGCACATAGTCGCATACATACATATTACATATATATATATATATATGTATACATATATCATCAACAGTGATGCATGCAGAATTAATGCAACTGGAGAAACCTTTAGATTGCGTATGTTGACAAGATTAGTTGGTATAGTGATACACAAGTGCAACTAAACATCACATCACACGCTTATTTGGATGCCACTACCCAACATAAACGATAAAAATAAAAAAAATTAGGGAAAATTACATATAAATGGAGTCAAAGTTCCATATTTACTTAGAGGCTGAGTCAAAGTTTCATATTTCTCTAAAATGGATTGATGAGGTGGCACATGGTTTTTTACTGTTTAGAAATTGTGGTGCCTAAAATATCCTTCCGCGAAGGTACTACTTTTTCTTCGAAGGTATTACTTTTTTGAACTGAAGGTACTACTTTTTGACGTCCAGGTACCATGTTTTTTAAACACCCGCGAAGGTACTACTTTTTTTCCGAAGGTACTACTTTTTTGAACTGAAGGTACTATTTTTTTGCACTGAATGTACTACTTTTTTATTAGGGAAGGGTATTTTAGGCACCACAATTTTCTAAACAGTAAAAAACTATGTGCCACCTCAGCAATCCATTTTATAGAAATATGGAACTTTGACTCAGTCTCTAAGTAAATATGGAATTTTGACTCCATTTATATGTAATTTTCCCAAAAAACTAATCCAATTACTCCTATTAAACTTGATATATATATACACATGTAATTAATATATATATATCAATAGTGTCATGACATGAACTTAATTAATACAAGTTTATAATTTTATATTTTTATGGTGGTACCGGCCTTGTGTTTATCACAATATATGCATGACTCAATCCCAATCCTAAATTTGTGGCGCGCGTTTAATTACCACTATTGAGTCTATTTCTAGCATATATTGTATTGCTTTTTGGTGATTAAATTTAATTGGCAGGTATACACGTAATAATGCTTGCTTTTTGTCATTGTGTTATATATATACACACACACAATACACGTAACGCGCACGCACATACAACTTAGCCTCTGTCATGCATCAAACTGGTGTGACGAATTGCAAGTGGCATGAATGGATCTGTCTCTTTACGTGGATGGAATAAAATGATACACATATATATAGAGAGAGATCTCTCAAGTCTCTTTCTCGTTCTGTATAGCTGATATAACATGCCTGACCCACAAATTGACATTATTTTTGCGATCCATTTGGTTGCCTTCCCAAACTTTATTTATTTTCGACCGACCTTTGATTTTCATGGAATTATAAAAAATTTCAACAGAATTAAATTGGCTTATGTCCTACCAAATATATCTATACTTGTTTGCAATGGAACAAATAACAAAAGTTTCTTCATCAAAATATGTGCATGCATGTATTCATAGATACACACACCAAAAGTTTACTTCAATTAATACTTAGCAGATAAAAATTGTAGCAGACATGAGACTCGAATGCTCTGGTAAAATTTTAAAAGCCGTGGTTACACACTCCGAATTAAATTAAAACAAGGTAAGAGAGTTTTCAGTGATGTGGCCCACAATCCCTCTCTCAGTTTCACTTTTTGATGTGTGAAGAATTTTCCAGAACTTAAATGATCTAATTATGTAACAGTTGCATCACTCCAAGAGAGAACATATACAGCCTAGTGAAATATTAAAACTTACTTGACACTTCACTATTTGCTTTATATATAAAAAGGGTAAAGTGAAAAAAAAAAAAAAAAAAAAATACCCTGCTATATATATATATATATATATATATATATATATATATATATATTGTACAAATATATTCTCTCGTGTTAAAAAAAATCCTACATTTTCTAAATTGAGCAAATAAAGATAATTCTTCAATGTAAAGATTGAAATACTTATGATATCTTCAAGACAAAAATAAAAATGAAAAAACACTTATTTCAAAATTTTGGAATTTATAAATAAATAAAAAATTGGGGGCTTTTATAAAAATTTTGGGTTTTGGGGTTCTTATAAAAAAAATTGGGATTTTTGGGGGGTTTTTTATTTTAAAAAAATTGAAGACTGAAATACCGAAAATGCCCTTTTAAGGGTATTTTGGGGTTTTTATAAATAAAAAAATTGGTCAAAATTGACAATTAGGGGACAATTTGCTACAAAAATTTAAAATACAGGGATTTATATGCACTTTAAAAAAAGTGGGATGTTTCTTGCAGATTTTTTTTTGTACTTTACCCTTTAAAAATGTAGGGAAAACAAAAACAAACAAAAAAAACAAAATTAGAGAGAGAGAGAGATCTACAAAAAAAAAGTATATAACAAAAAAGTTAAAATATAATTATAGAAGAGATGAGAGGAGACAATAATGTTGACATGATAGAAGAGCTATGTAGGTCAATGGCTAAAGCAGGGCATCCAGAATAGAGTTATGAAACAAAAACTATATCTGTGACCAAAAAAAAAAAATCATGGAGTCCAGATTTAGTGTATACTGGTTATATATAATGTTTTTTCGGGGAAGGGATTATATATAATGTTAAAAGACCTTACCTGACACTTCAACATTGAAATTTAATACAACTACAGAAAATGTAGGTTAAAAGAGTGCAAATAAAAGTATGCATGTTTAACAAATCAGCATTAGAAAATATCATCAGAACTTGACTAGTCATAGAGAGATTATAGGCAAATTATTTTCAGAATTAAACTGATGCCACAACATTCAAAACTACATATCTTTATGATCTATTTTTCTTCTTCCAGAGTATTCAAATCCAGTTATATATCATAGACTGATCAATATTTTCATTCTTTTACAGCATCATTATATGAGACTGAGCAGACAGATACATATTCATAATTTCATATTAGGAACATGATTTCTAACACAAGCATTCACAATGCCAAAACTTTATTTAGCTGATCACTACACACCATTAAACCCGAACAGAACGATAAAGCCCCACCATCTATATACACAAGAGCTTCTCTGTTCTTGGGCGTCGCCTCATATTCGAGGATTCAAATCCCAACTCCAATTAAAAAGATAGAAAACAAAAAAAGACTCTACTTAATTCCTTACCAAATTAAGAGATAACACATGCGTTTGGATTCTCTTCCACGCTGTGATGAACATACTGGTATGTGTGCATTGGATGATAGAATGTGTATGGCATGATCTCCATCACGGCCTGTTCTAGTTCCTTCTTCTTCTCGTCTTCCTTCTTTGGTTCTTCCTTTTTAGCTACTTCCTCTTTCTTTGGTTCCTCCTTCTTCTCTTCTTCCTTTTTCGCCTCCTCTTTCTTCTCGGGCTCTTTTGCTGGCCCTACTGTAATTATATCTGTCAACCAGAATTTTCTCAGCTTGCTCACTACACTTATAGGATCAACCGTCCCAACCACAGTCAATTTCTTCTCCTTCGTATCCACGGAGATGGAATCAATTCCTACACAATCAATTCCAACAGAAGTCAATTCCCTATAATTCATCTAATTTTCCTCTTCGAATGCCCATAATAATTGGTCCCCAAATCCTGCCCCGGGTGTGCCCTCACCATGCAAATGGAATCAAAACCCTCCGGACTTATTTCAGTGCCACAATGCGCAAGAATTTAAATAAAATTGACTCTTTTGAGGCTGGTAGCAAGGAGAGGAACTAAACTCAAGACGTCCGCGTTCTCATGCTTAGTCCTTGACAAACTGTTCAATCCAAATTGGCCGGAATTTCTTTATATTGAGTTATATTTTTTTTTTTAATTCAGTTATGTAGAAGAAGAATTATTGGTCATAAAGAGGCCTAGGTTTGATTTTGAGATTAGATAACCCACAATCTTGTATTATCTTTACACACCTAATGAGAATTTCGAGTTCTCTACACGGTGAACTTATTAGGCTTTAAATTGAACCATATAAATCTTTGTGCTGTGCCTTCTGTGATTGTAGAGTTTGCCAACAAGTAGAGGTAGTAAGAGCTCATATTTCTCGAATTTTTCCTTGAATTTTTCCTTAAAGAATTAAGCTATGTTAACCATTCTAATTAATCAAAAAAAATCAGTGAACTATTCTCAATGAGAGAAATATTTCAAAAAACAAGATACATGTAAATTAATTAATTTATTTTCCAGAGTAAAAGCTCAAGAAAGCTTAAATTTTTTCCTTGAGGCTGGCCTCTGTTCTGTACTTTGAAAGAACAAGGAAAATGCTTAAGAAAGAAACACATTTCTTAAACATTGCTTTCTATACATTTTCAGTTCTTCTCCAAGAACCAAATAGAGAAGAAAATGAGCTTTTTCTCCTAGAAAATGTTAAATTTTCCATGAAAACAAACAGAATGAGAACAGTTAAATTGGAAATTTTGAAACCTGAAAGAGCAGAGACTATCTTCATGGCCTTCCGCTTGTCTCTGTCATCTTGCAATTCCAATTTCAAGATAAACTTCTGCCAAAACACAATATGTAAATCAGAACCTATCAAGCTTCTTACCAATCAAACAGATCAGAGTAAAACAAGATACTGATCAAATCCAGAGAATTTAAACAAGAACACCCAAAATTAATAATAATAATTCAGAATCAACTAAGCTTAATCATTAAACCAGAAAACCACTATATTCACAAAAAACGAATAAAACCCGGTTCAACATTTATATATGAACATTTTCAGAAAGTAGTAAAACAAAAGGCAATCCAAGTTAAATACCATGAAGTTCTAGGACCAAAAAAAAGGTTGATTTGATTATTTGAAGATTTCTTTTTTTAAAAGATTATGAAAAGTATGACCCATAGAAGTCTAGATTTCCATAAATGAATTAAACTAAGTGTTAAAACTGAATTTTATGCAAAACCCATCATTTAAATTGGAAAAATAAATAAATAAATAAAAATAATAGTAATAAAGCTTACAGTGAATCGGAGCAAAAGAAAGGAATATAGTGAATCAGAAGTAAAAGTGAAAATCAAACCTTCATTTGGGTTGCTTTTAGAGGGCTGTGAGTCAGAGCTGAAAATGCAAATGGGATCAGAACCAAAGAAGATGAATTTTGTGAGGAGAGAGTAGAGAGAGAGAGAGAAGAAAATGTTGGAAGGAGCAATAGAAGACGAAATCGAATAATGCGTTTCGAAAAGAGTTTTGGACGGACACAAAAACAAAAAAGAAAAAGCCGAATCAGAACAAGAAAGAAAGAATAGGAGAGAGATAGAGAGAGAAGTGGAGTGGAGCTCAATACAGGACCATTTTAGGCCAGCAGAGTTATTCATGAAGCTCTGCAAGCAGAAAAAAGGTCTATCGCTTTCTGGGGCCTTCATTGATAACAACCACGTTAATCATGGGGAGCGTGACAACCACGTCCACCTCATCTTGACATGGCAAGCACTGCTTGCCATGTAGTTTTTCAAGTTGTGGGTCCACGTGGCAGGGAATCTTTGCCCTTCTGCTTGGTAATTTTCTCAAGGTGGCATGATTCCCGGTCTCCGGATCCTCTACAGCAACAACACCGTAATTATAATTATAACCAACCGTATAAATAGACTGATTATACGTGTAAATAATTATAATCATCTATTAACAATACAATATTATGTTTACTAAAAAAAATTCTTGTTATGATGCAAGACGTTGACAATAAATTCAGCTTTCATTTTCACTTGTCAATTTTGTTCGAGGAACAAGATTCTTTTTTTTTTGTTCCGTTATAATGATAATGCGAATTCAACATACGTGACAGGGAATCTTTGCCCTTCAGATTGGAAATTTTCTCAAGGTGGAGTGCCCGGATCCTCTGTCGCAAACTAAGTCACATAAAACGTGAGCGAAAGCGAAATCGAATTCGAAAGCGGGAACGTGAGAGTGGCAAAATTAAGTTATAAGCAGTAAAAATTTGAACGAGAACGTGTGCGAAGCGTGAGAGCAATACCGGTTGAAAATGATTGTGTAACAAAAAATTATTTTAATGATGCGAAACTAAGTATATTATGAGTATATAATGAGCTGATTTTTTTTGACAATAAATTAAGCTTTCATGACAATAAACTATTCAATAAACAAATTTTTATTACACTGAGCACATTTATTTATTTAAATAAATAAATAAATGATCATGAACTGTAGAGGCGCGTGAATTTCTATCCGTCATCAGTTTAGGCCAACGTAGAGTGGATCCCACAAGTCAAATTCAACGTACTTTTGGAAGTACTCATCTCTGCCGTAAATTTGGAATGGTAATTTTGCTACTATACTTTCTGTCTCGAATGCAAAAGGTTGACCATCATAATCAATTTAGTAATTTAATAAAATAACCATTCTTTTTCTCCCACAATTCTTTAACAAATTAAATTTTTAATTGATACTTACACAAGCTTTTAATAAATTGTTTGAGAGAATTTGAATGTTCTATTCATACATTATTTACATGATGTGATATTTTGTCCTGAATTTGTTGTTCATGTATAATAAAATATGAATTGGTTCATGGCTTATTTTTTCTATTTCAAGTGACTAGTCACTATTTATAAAAATTAAAAATTAAAAACATATTACTTTAATCACAAGAATATGAAATTAATTTTTTTCCTAAGCAAATATGAAATTGTTAAAACATTAATAAAAAAATAAAATGCTTCATGTTACAAATTAAGTGAAATAAACATAAAATAAATACAATGAGTTCCAAATCATGATGACGTTATTAAACATTAAATGCTTCGGTGTACGTTATAGTTATTGGATGGAGACACCGTAAGGTGTGGTCAGTGAGGGTATACCTTGTGATAAATTTTTTTAAATAATTTAATTGAAATTTTAGAGAATAAAAAATATTTTTAAATCTCTTTATATGGAATTGAGTAACACTGTTGATTTAACCAACCGACGGTGTTTGAATGAGGAAAGTAGCATGTTGTTGAGAAAGTATTACGTGGTCCTTCCCTTGCTGATACATACCCAGATTTTATAGGGACAGTTGGACAAAAGTAGACGGCCGGCCTATCAACCACGTACAACTTCTATGGTTCAACTGAGTTATGATGGCATGACCCATCCATTTGATTCGATACTTCAATACCACCATATATTTTTTTGTTTTTATTATTATTTTTATAAATGTAACAAGTAATTCCTTACAGCTATCAATAGTGGGCCCAATGAGTATCAATGGATATTATTATTATTATTTTTATTGTTATATTAACGAATATTTTGTTATCAATGGAAGAGTTTTATTAGGGTAAATTTGTAATCTATCATATAAGTCAAAAGTGTCACTACACAAGTCAAATGGCATTTAGCTTATTAGAGCATGTCTAATAGCATTTGTATAATTGTAGGTTGGATGGGAAGGAAAAAAATTAAATGAAAGAGAGTAAATAAAGGAAGAATGAGATTATCTAGAAATGAGATTATATTTTTTTCTTTTTTTTGTTCGATTGGACAGAAAAGGAGAAGAGGAGAAACTGACAATTTACTTTAATGCGTAGAATAAAAGGAAAGAGAAAATCTTAAAATATTTTTTCCATTAAACTCATCATTTACTTTATTTATGGGATTTATTAAATAAGGATGATGTAGTAATTTAAAACTTCTATAATATAATCACTTATCTTTTCTCATATATTTAGCTCATATTTTGACGTACGAAAATTTTTGAAAGAGGAAGGATGATGCATCAATCCATTATATTATCATTTCTTTCCTTACCTTATATTATCTATAACGAACGAAAAAAATTAGTTCATCCATTCCTATTTTTCTTTCATCCTTCTTCCTTCCTTCCTACCCAACATAGCATAAAATTAGGCTCTTCGAATTTGCCACATCAGCATTTTAGGCTATCAAATTCTTAGTTATCGCATGTATTCCAATGGTGCATTTTTAAAATTTTATATTTTTTAATTTTTCCTAGCGTCTATATTCCTAACATCCATAATTTTTTTTAAAAACTATATGAGTTTTAAAAATAAATAAATAATGAAACACTAGTATTAAAATCAACTAGAAAAAATGAACAATCATATGAGAAACTTGAGTTAATCATATAGGAAGTTTGAGTTATTAGTAGTAACATTGAAATTTATTTTTTATTTTTTTAAAAAAAGGAAAAACTACAGTTAAGTAGATTTAGGAACCTTAAATAACAAAGTAGTCTATTTTTAAAGTTAATTTTTCAATTTGGTCAGGTTAGATAAAATAATTACATATGCATTAAAAACTATTATTTAGGTTCAAAATACCCTCTAAATTCTTATTTTAAAATACCAAAATATCCTTCCTAAATCAAATAATTTTTTCATTCATAAAATTTAGAAAAATCAGATTTCTGAGTTGACTTTCAACTTGACATTTTTGCATATGGTGTATATATTACCAAAATAAATAAAATAAAAAATAACATTGAACCATATGGATTAGGAGATATTATTATTATATATGTATATATATATATATCCATATGGTTCAAACTTGCAAATATCAATTTAGAAATAAACAAATAATTTAGTGAAAATTCATTATGTATAGAAATTTTTTTTTTCCCCACTAAGTGGAATTTCATCCTATATTCATATATAAATATATATAAAATTTTATTTGCGCATTACTTTTATCATATCTCCTAATTCATACCAATATAAACATGCAAGTATATATTGATTTTTTTTTTTTATATATATTATTGTTATAAGTTATCGTGTGTGTGTGTGTGTAAATGTTGTAGCAATATGGTTCAAAATTAAAAGAAATAAATTATTTAAAGAAAGTACTTGATTTTAGGAGAATAATTTTTAATATTTTGGAATAACTGTTTGAAGGACATTTTAGAACTAAACAATTATTATTGATGCATATGTAATTATTTTACTTAATTCAATCAAAGTGAAAAATGAACTTTTAAAATATAACATTTTGTTATTTAAGGTTCCAAACTCTATGTAAGTGTAGTTTTTTTTATAAAAAAAAAATCACTGTTCTCTATTTTTAAAAAAAGTTTTTTGCCCAAAAAAGTACACCGTTTGTACTAACCAAACAGTGTCTTAACGACTCTTTGATTTAGTTGTGTTGTGAGGAATATTTTTAATTTATTTTTTAAAAAGGCCAAAAAAAAAAAACCAAAAGCCAAACACGCCAATTTATCGGTGGCCGTGGCTTATGGGCCATAAAAGTTTTTTTTTTGGTAAAAAAAAAAAGAGCAAGTTGGCCCGTGCATGACAAGCCCGCAATCTCCATATGGGTTGCCATTTCTGGCTACTCATTTCTTGATTCAAAATTCGTAGTCCACTTTTAGTAACCCACAATGAAGGGTCGCCAAAATCGTTGAATTGGACATCGGAGTTACTCTTATATTATTTGTCGGCATATCTTTTATCAAAAGGCGCAAACATGTGCGTGTCAGTGTCAAAATTTGGCTATTAAAGTAAATGGAATGTCAAATTTTGGCTATTAAACTAAATGGAATGTGTCATGTCTAAAAAATTAAAAAAAGAAGAAGAGAAAATTTACAGTTACTAATTCCCTGTATTAAGTTAGAATAAGTATTTTCAATCGAGCTAAATAGTATTTTGCCCTACATGTTTCATAAATTAAAAAAAAAAAAAAAAAAAAATTATAGCAAGAGAACTTCTTGCAAAAAAATTTGGAGGTTTTCCAATTGAGAAATTTATAATTTTGTTTACAATTCACAAAATTCGAAACTATTTAATCCAGTCCTGCTTTAAAAAAAAAAAGACAGATAGTTAACTCTAACGCCGTTAACATATCTTCGGCATCGACGTGATGAGGATGCGTGTTAGTCACGCTCATAACGTCCCTTCGTTCTCGCCTTCGCTATCTAATAATCTATTGACCATGTCTTCGACGAACCCGAATTCTCTCGAATCCTCTCCACTGGAGAGGGAGAGGATTTTAGTTCGTCTTGGACCACCGCTTCACATCTCTCATTTTCCATCCGCATTCACATGCAAAACCCTAATATTTGACTTCCTATTCAAAACCCTAGATTGGGATCCCGTATAAAAATTTCTGCTCACCATCTCAATTCTCTTCTAATTGAACCAAAAAATCGCTGGTTTCATTTTAAAACAATCTTGAATTTTGGTCTCCTTAAGTACTTCAAACCCAAATCGCTAATTTTCAATCTGTTTTGCCTATTCGAAACCATAATTCCCTCTAATTTTGATGCAATTGACCAGCGAGTGTTGAGGTTCTATGGATATTCAAGTCTGTAGGGATTGGTGAATGAACCAAACTTGAATATGAATCATCGTCTCATGAACGGACATTCACTACAATCATCTGGTTGGTTAGAGATTCGGCTTTTTTACGTTCGTATCGCTCCATGCGCTATCCATAGCGTCCCAGACCACCTAAAGCTTCGCCATCTACGTCGCGAAATCGGCGTGTCGCTTGAAATCAATGGAGCTCGTGTCCCGGCGACCGAGGCGGCCTCCTTAACCCTCCGTCGCGACCGAATAGATAAGGAATCGGCGGAGGTGACGTATGTCTTTACCGACAGTGTTAGGGTTACAGGGGCGTTCGAATTCGAGGTGTATGAGAATGAGGAGATGATTTTGTGTGGGTCTTTGGAGAGAATGGAGGCTTGTTGGAGTAATGGGAATTTGGGTTCAGAGAATGATTCGAAGACGGGGTGGAGTATGGATTGTTTTGCAGCGGCGTCAATTACGAGTGGGTCTTCGGTTTTTTTCCAGCCGAAACTTGGGATTTCGTCGCCCTCGATTGAGGTTTATGTAGCGGGATGTTGTTCAGGTATGCCTGTGATTCTGACAAAGACATTTTTAATCAGTCCTAGGCGGAAACCAGCAAGGCATAGGATTCTTGATGTTATTCCAGAGGATGAAGAAGAGATCGAGAAGGAGCATAAGAGTAGTAGTGGTTTTGTTCGACAGCGTACATTGCAGGTAATTTTCTTGCCAATTGGTTGACTTATTTACTGAAATTATATGTTTGTGCATTATAATAGTATTGAATGTTAAGGGTTTTTTAACAAACGATTATCTTTTGGATGATTATTTAGTGGATGAGTTTATCTCAGACGAGGTTTCTAGTGTTCCTTTTGTATTAACATAGCATAACATTTTTCATACCGTTTGCAATTTAATGATTAAGGTGGAGAAGTAGTTGCAGTTCTAAAAGATGGTTCGTTTCCTTCCATTTTTATTACCTTTTGTAATTTTTTGGTGTCTACTTTCTTCACTTGGGTTTTAGTGCAACTAGGTCGTCAAGAGATATGTCACTGTTGATGGTTACTTCTTTACTATTCCGTTTATTGTTAGTTAGATTAATTTGAGCAAATGTATCCACTACCTAGCTTACATTTATAATCAATAGCTTTTGATGTTAAGCTGCTTACTCATAAAAAGATATTGTTTTTGAAATTCGTGTCATTCTATGAAAGTTAGATGGTAGGGATTGTCTTATAGAGGAAAAATTAAGGAATAGAAGTATAGGCTTTACTGCTTTAGTAAATAAATAGCTTACTCAGAAAAAGTTATTACTTTTGAAATTCGTGTCATCCTATGAAAGTTAGATGGTAGTGATTGTCTTATAGAGGAAAAATCAAGGAATAGAAGTATAGGCTTTAGTAAATCAGGAGATTGATTCCGTGAAAATGTAAGTACTTGAGTGGTTGATGGACAAGGATTAAAGAGAAGAAAGGTAACGGCAATGTGTTTTTAACTGCCTTTTGATTTATTAAATTCATATAACAAGGCCACTAGAGATAATAATGTGAATTCTAAGAAAGGAGAGAATATTGCCAATATGTATTGATGTGACCTAGGATGTGCGAATCATAGCTCATTCATCTTGGGGTTAAAATTGAGACTCAGTTGTTGTATGGAATTGAAATGGGGGATATACAAGAGAATTAAGAAAATAATAATAATAATAATATTAACTGCAAAGTGGATGAATTAAATAAACATATACAACATCTAAAACATGAAATATTGTGTAAATATTTAAAATGGCATTATTAAATTGAGTAGTGATACTCATACTGAACACTTGCAGTGAATTGTCTAACTGAATAATTTTTAATTGATTATTTATACCAAATACAACTAAGTGGAGGGCCCTACTTCCTTATTTATTGCATAATTGACCAATTAAAATAGTATGTCTGGCAATTCACTGCAATTATTCGGTGCAAGAATCATTTTCCATTAGTCTTAGCTATACATGAGAAGCTTTAACATTTTCTAAAATATTAATAGGGACAATTTAAATTTGCCTAGCCCGGGGGGAAAAAAAAGTTTGTCTTATTTTTGAGAGTAGTTAATAGTACTTGATTAGCTCTTTTTTTGGGCATAAATTTAAGGGTTAACTACACTGATCTCCCCTAAGGATGAAACTTTTCAAAAATCTTGCACTGACCTCCCCTTTGACCTATAGACCTCAACTTTTTGAGTGATTTTACCTTTATACCCTCAATAATTTATCATTAAAAATGACAAAATATCTGCTATTGTGAAATTACCACTTTTCCCACCTTTATAAAGAAAACCTAATGTCAGTGCATCTTCTCTAGTACCCCATTTGAGATCCTCCAAATAGGGTTTTTGTTCATACATTAGAAAATCAATATTATAATAGATGGTTAGCAGATTTTTTATTTTTCATTCATGTTTTGAGTGTTAAATAAAGATTTCGAGAAGCTTTACCAATAATCAAGCAAAGCATGTTTGAAATCTGAGAACAAAACACAGAGATATGCAACATACCTTAGCTACTCCATTACCCTAATCAAATAAAAAAACACCAGATAAACTTCGAATTTAAGATCTGGGAAAAAAGGGGTGAACAATAGGAAAAGAAGTGTTGTTGTCCTCTAAATAATACATTTCACTGATGCTCTCAGAGCTGCAAATGAGAACATAGCACGACTAGATCTGATCCAGATCAATGCGCAACCACCGAACCCCCACTGCAATGGCGGATGAACAACAGCGGCGGAAGAGGAGGAACGACAACAGCAACCTTTATTGTTGGTGTCAAATTCGTTGTTTGAATCGTATCCGATTCGATGGCGGCCAAAATACTCTACATTTGTATATATGTGCAATACATATATGTTTGTTTAATGTCCTTCTCTATATATATCTGTGTAGCTTTTGAGGGATGCATTTCCCTTTTGAACGCCTTTTTAATATAATCTTACTTATCAAAAAAAAAAAAAAAAAATTCTCTCTCTTTATATCCATATACGTATTGGACGTATACAATACGTATAGATATATAGAGTAAAGTTGCGGACTGTAAATTTATATGTACAAATATAATCTGTAAATATGTGTTGTGTGTGTGTGTGTGTTTTTAACTTTTAATATATTTTTAAGTTTTTTCAAATTGATTTATAAAAATGAAGCCAAGAAATTTAGGTTAATTTTGTTCATAAAAATAAGGTATTTTGTTAATTAAATGTCATGTAAGGGTAATAAAGTCATTTCAGAAAGAGGGATGAGAATCATGTAATTTTTTTTTGGTACGGAGGGGGTATATGTAGCAAGTGAGCAAACGTTTTGCGAACACGGTACAAGATTTTTTAAAAGTTTTATCTATGTGTAATTAGGCCAAACCTAACCCTAAATTTAAATTGATGGTCCGGCATTGTAGCTTCTCATCGTCAAGCATTCCTCTCCCATGTATTTATAAATTTGAGACACTATGATAATCTGTATATCTTTTAGCATCCCCCGGTTTCTTATATAAGCAGTAAAATACTTTGTCACTTATCAGGCACGGTCGCATGGCCTTAGTTATTATTATTCTATTGAACAATTTTGTCAGACAAGAAGCACCTTCACAACAGTACCATCTTCTGTCCAAAGCTTTAAAGGAAATTGTACCTGTTAACCTAAACCAGGATGCTATAGAAAATAGTGTTTTTTTTTTTTTTTTTTTTTTTCTTTCTTTCAGAAATACTCATTTCAACTTTTCATTTTGATTCTTTAAGAATCTTTTGTAATATTCTTTCAATTCATCCAGGCATCCTATTTAACGATACATTGGTTTTATATTTATTATTTCATGTTTCAATCAGCATTGAAAACTGTTTGAACCAAAGGAATTGCTAGTTAAGACTGTAAATCTCGTAGCTAGGTTAGAGTCTTAGAGAGTTTGATGTTCTATTGTATGGATATCACCGTTCATGTTGCCATCTTGCTGTGTGTATATTTCATATTTTCCAAGTGTGCGTTGATACCAGTTTGCATACTTATTTGATTTTATTTATTTATTTATTCTCCACAATTCATCTTCCTATCGGAACTCTGCAGGTTACAGAGGCAGAAGCAGACGGATATGAGTCATCAGATGGAAAAATTGGACGTCCTGTCTTCCACTCCGAAGACATGTACGCTGGTGAGGATGGACAACTCTCATGGTTTAATGCTGGTGTAAGAGTTGGGGTTGGAATTGGCCTGGGGATGTGCGTTGGCATCGGAATTGGCGTTGGACTTCTCATGCGCTCATATGAAGCAACCACCAGGAACTTGAGGAGGAGGTTTTTTTGAACTAGATAATTTTGTTTGGAGATCCATGATTCTGGTTGAATGTTAAAAGCAATGAGAAGAAAACTTTTGGGATTTTACTTGGAGTGAGATTTCTTTAGATGGTGGCCAAGAAAGTAAAAAAAAAATCACACAATGCACAGCATTTTAGAAGTGTGCTTTGATACTTGGGCGGATGCCGGACGGTTGATTGGTTGGTTGGTTCACTTGACATGATGCTCTAGTGGAAGCTGCTGCCTTGCTTTCCTGTCTCATTCATGTAGCTTGCTAGTATGACTTGAATTGTGTTGCTTCTGATGAAATTCTGGAGTTGATTACTTGGACCAGCAAAGCCCTAGGCAATTGAAGAATGATGCGAGTCGTGTATGTGTATGTACCAACAGGAAGACACAAAGATGCATCCACTGCCTCAAGTTGTAGATATTTTTCATCATTTGGTGTTCCATTAGAGGTTCTCTTTTCTTCTGGTTATTACAACAGCACAGCTAACAGCACTTCTTGTTCTTTCTTCTTATTTACATTTTGTGTATCCTCATTCTTCTATTTAATGTGCTGGTTACGATATGTTGCATTTGTATTAATAATAAGCAAGCCTATATTTTGATAATTCATTTCAATACTTAATAATGTCTTCCCATCATTGATTGACACTTTTTCTTGTGTTTGAAGCATTATTTTTGAAGTTTATCTTGCCAAGGTGAATGCTTTCAATGGACATTAGGCTAATAGTGTAGATTAATTCAACATTAAGCTAATGAGAAGCTAAAATAGTGTAGATTAATTCAACATTAATCTAATGAGACATGATGGAAAAAAAATCATTGAAGCGTAAATTGAGATTTATATCAACTAAAGGGTGGGTTTGATTTTGCTTTTGGAAAAAGCAGACCAAACCTTTTTTACACACTTTCTATTATGAGCTTGAGCCTATTTCAAATTAGTTAACGCTTTTCTAGGATCATACTAGATTTGGGTTTTTGGCTCCTTTCTTAAGTTTTTGTATTTTATTATTTTCTTTATCGAAGAATAGAAATAGAAATATGAAATTAGTTAAAAATTAATAATAAAATAAAATAATATATATTTTTTAATTAGTTAAATACATACTTTTTCGGTTTCAAATTAAGTGTTCATAAAAATTAAAGGAGATACTTAATTTGAGACTGAGAGAATATAAAACCTAATCTCCTTCAAAGGAGAAAGGGAGACTGAAGCCCAAAACATACACGGGAGTGTATTTTGTTACTAAGGAAAAAAATAAAATGCAAATGAGTTTGAGTGGAGCGCTGACATACATGGGAGTGTATTTTGTTACTAAGGAAAAAAATAAAATGCAAATGAGTTTGAGTGGAGCGCTGACGAAATTATAAAAAAAATTGCTTAATTTTCGAAACACGACAAAAGAAGATGCATGGAGAGAGAGAGAGAGAGAGAGAGAGAGAGAGAGAAGGGGACTAGGGTCTGCAACAAACTCAACCACCTCTCCAGGAGCACTGGTCGAAGCACTTACTCGAACAAAAGAAAAAGACGTACCAGCAGAACCAGAGAGAAATGCTGCTTCTATAAACGCATTACACACACAAACTCATATTATTACTATATCATTTGTATACATATTATGTGTTAGAAGAAGACCAGAGTGATGAGAGGGAAAGACACTACTAAGATCAGTAGTAGCTCCAGATCTCCTGCAACAATGGCCCATCATAACAACCCTGCACCACCTCCTCCCCTCCCCTTTGTCATCACTCTCAACTGCATCGAGGACACCGTCCTCGAGCAAGACTGCCTCTCCGACATCGCCGCCGTCGAGCATGTGTCGCTCAGCCGTCTCGCGGAGGCCAAGATCGAGTCTGCAGCCGCCGTCCTCCTCCATTCCCTCACCTTCCTCCCCCGCGCTGCCCAGCGCCGCCTCCGCCCCTGGCAGCTCGTCCTCTGCCTCGGCTCCTCTGACCGCCCTGTCGACTCCGCCCTCGCCGCAGACCTCGGCCTCCACCGATTCCTCCACGTCGACGTCTCGCGCGCCGAGGAGGTGGCAGACACCGTCATGGCCCTCATCCTCGGCCTCCTCCGCCGCACTCATCTCCTCTCTCATCACACTCTCTCCGCCTCCGGCTGGCTCGGCTCTGTCCAGCCCCTCTGCCGTGGTATGCGCCGCTGCCGCGGCCTTGTATTGGGGATCATCGGTAGATCTGCGTCCGCTAGGTCCTTGGCTACTCGCAGCTTGGCTTTCAAGATGAGTGTGCTCTATTTTGATGTTCACGAGGTATGAAATCCGATCAGACAATGTAGTTTTATATTCAGTCAATTCTCAGCATAGATGTATATTTTTAGATCCTAAAATAGTGTTTCAATTGCTGAAATACGATCTTGGGTATATGTTATCTATGTTCCTGACCTCTGAAGTTGTTGATTACAAGAACACTTTGTTATTTTAGAGTCATTGTATATTAAGCAGTTAATGATTGATATACTTGAAGTGGGTAGGTTCCAGTAATGCAGGGAAGGATCCATGAAGTTGGGGGGAGTGAATTTAGTGTATTTTTTTTTTGTAATTTCAGGGGGGGCAAAGTGAAAATTTTATACGTATATAATTGAAAATAAGTAAAATTAGTGGTATATAATAGTAAAAAAAAAAATTCAGTGTGAATTGGCTCCTTCCCTGCAGTAATGACAGATCAGCTAAGAATGATCCTTCAATGACGTGTTTTATCGAATCAGTAAATGTATTCTATCACGGAGTTTAAGTTACGATTCATTTGACCTAACAAAAGCAATCCCATTTTGCTTTTATGTAGTTAGAAAATATAATTCTTTTCAGTAGATTGTAATGAAACATGCTGGTATTGGAACAATTCAGTCTTCCATTTTGGGCCTACAGCTAAGTTAAACCTACAATCACTTGAATGCATGCACAAACATTGGAGAAGATAGAAGAATCATGAGGCCAAAAATCCTGCAGCCTTAGCTTTCCAATCTGGGTGGTAAAATCATCAGCCAAAAAAAAAAAAAGAAGTGGTATTGATCATTTCAAATTTCTGGTTTAGTAATGAAAATGAGAAATTCCGAACTTTATCAATCATTGTATATTATGGGACATCGAAATTCAATATTTTCTCCAAAAAAAATAAATAAAAATAAATAAATAAACAAGAATGCAACAAGTGGAGAAAATTCTAACCTTTTATAGGCTGTCCTTAATTGGAAGTAACCAGTGAGTTTCATGGAAGTGCTATAGTAATATATTACTGCCCACACTTCAGACATTTTCCTAGCCTCCTTTTCATATTTGGATTATATGTTTGTTGTCATGCTGCTCATGCATTTAGTATTTGTTGGTTTATATCCGACTTGTTCTCACAAAATTTTCTAAATTACATTTAAAAGGGAGAAGAGAGATTAAGTCGATCCTCCATAGCATTCCCACCTGCTGCCCGGAGAATGGATACCCTTAATGATTTACTTGCTGCTAGTGATCTTATTTCTCTCCACTGTACTCTGACAAATGAAACAATTCAGATTATAAATGCAGATTGTTTGCAGCACATAAAGCCTGGTACTTTTTATTTTCATATTTCGTCTGAGATGTTTCTTCCAAAATATATATATATATATATATATATTGGGGTTTCTCCTATTTTTGCTTATTATGTCCTTTTTCATGCAGGAGCGTTTCTTGTGAATACTGGTAGTAGCCAGCTATTGGATGATTGTGCTGTAAAGCAGCTTCTGATTGATGGCACCCTTGCAGGCTGTGCTCTGGATGGTGCTGAAGGGCCACAATGGATGGAAGCATGGGTATGATGATTGATGAGTAGCCTTAGGGTATGAATATATATATGATGTTTTCCTGGGCAGGAATTTTTTGTCATGACTTATATGATTTCAACTGATTGCTTGGTAGACAATGTTAATTTTTTTTTTTTTTTTTATTATTGTTATCCCTTAAAGGGTTCTTTTTTCATTTTCCTATTTTTTTTTTTCATCTCTTTTTGTTTTTCCCCTCCAGATTTCTTGCTACAGTTTTATGCTTTTTACTATTTTCACATTTAGGTTGTGCACATATGCCATTGTGTAACAGCCATTCATGGAGTTCCACTCCCAGTTTATGTTAGTTGCACATGTGTAATAGAGGTATAGGGTGAGGCAAGGAAAAGTAATCTTTTACTCAGAGAAGGCTTTTCTATATAGCTGAGGTAGTCTGATTTCTGGCCAGCTGTATTTGTATTGTATGCAACAATTTATGTAATTAATTTGTATAATAATATTCTGTAAATGTAGAAGAACAAAAAATCTATCTCGTAGTTTTCATATGGGCTTCAATTATGAAGGTCTTATGTGGAGTCCTTATTTGCAAAACATCTAATTATCCTTCAACAAAACAACATATTTTAAGTGGACCTCTTTTTCTCTTACAAAAATGGGCAGTTGGGAAGGTGGTTTGTTAATAAACAATGAAGGTATTTATTATTTATTATTTTTGGTTCTCATATTGTGAATAGAGTGGCACCAAGGTTGAGTGGGGAACCTGAGTGTTAGATTTGAGATCTCTTAATTCTGGACGTCATAGTCTGATATTGGAAGGCCATACTTTTACTGCTATCAACTGGATCCTAAAAGAGAGGTTGCCTCTTGTAGCGTAGGTTAATAATAAGGAAGCAGACTTGTATAGAATTCTTCACTTAATTATCATGATATGGTTTTGTGTATCTATTGTGGGACTTTCACCTTCTTCTTCTTCTTTTTATTTGGATGATAAATTTTCCTATTTTCTCAACTAGTAATGTTTGTTTCTAATTAAAATAAGAACAGGAAAACTATGTTATCACAAGTGTCAACCCTTGCATAATCTAGGTAGACATTTTCAGTTCTACTGGTACTCATCTTTATGAGGAATCTGTATCAAAGAATTACACAATTCTTGATCTTAAGGCAACACTTTTTTTGGTCAATTAATTTTAGTTAGTAGTCATTTTAGGGCTTCCTTTTAACTGTTTTTATATCCTTTTTCTCTCCTTTTCTTTTTTGGTTTTTTTCCTTTGTTTATTTATTTATTTTTTTTTTGTAACTTTTTGGTTTTTCGTTTTGTTTTGCAAGAATGGTCGCACTAAAACATGAAATGAGTATATGAAAAAACCAGTGTCGTTCTGTTCCTGGAATATTGACCATAGGCATTATCTACATTGGTGAATGGTGGTAAAACTTGGAGAAGAGAAAGGGCATTCGTATGGTTATTAATAGACATGACATATTGTGGGATCTATAAAGATAATGTGTTTGCTCTGGCTTTTAGAAGGTAAAGGTAACTAATTAGAATTATTGACGTGATCAAAGACATGCATCTCATATGTTACCCTACAAATATCATGAAACAATTTGAGGAGAGACAAGTTGATTTCAATCACAATATACTACAAGTTCTTCACATTAAGCCCTCCATTGTTGTGATTTGGCCATAGATGAAACTAAAAGGCGTATTCATGAAGAGGTACCATAGTGTACGTTACTTGGCGTTGATACAGATTTATTTGATTCTAGTAAAAATATAAGGAGATGCCTGAGAATCATTTACTTATAACACATGCGCGCGCGAGCACACACACACACACACAAAGAGAGGTTAGAAACTAAAAGATAATGTGTATGAGAGGAAAATATTTTAAGTGGGAGGAGATTCCCTCTAAAAGAATAAAAAGATCCATTAAGAAATAAAGTAGACAAAGCTACAGGTAAAGTTGCATTATTTTCTTATATATCGTATCTCATTTCTATCCTCCTCCTTTTTTCCGGGTAATAATCATTGATATTCACCCTTTGTGTGAAGTGAAATGTGGAATATCAGTCATATAATTTTTTTAGCTCTTATGTTTATAAAGGTGTTATAAATGTGTCTGGACGATGCGTATAAAGCAAGCAACTCCAGAATTTTTATATTTTTATATTTGATTCTAATTTATTGTATCATAAACTTTCTTCAGGTAAAAGAGATGCCCAATGTATTAATACTTCCCCGCAGTGCGGATTATAGTGAAGAAGTGTGGATGGAGATAAGGGAGAAAGCTATATCTATATTGCAGACGTTCTTCTTGGATGGTATGATTCCAAAGAATGATGTCTCTGATGAAGATGATGAAGAAAATGAAATAGATGAAAGTGCATTGCAGGGTTCTGTTGGTGAGCAATTGACAGATGTTATACATACAACTCCTGAAAGCTTTCAGAAAAAGGGTACCAGTCAAACAAAAGAGTCTCCTAGCCAGCATCAGGGTTTGGTTTTGTCTCAAATTACTTCTACTCGATCTGAAGGAAAGCGCAGCAGATCTAGTAAGAAGGCTAAAAGGAGGCATGCCCGCCAAAAATCCCTGCACAAATCAGACGATCCTTCTGCATTAGAAAAAGAGAGTTCCTCGTGTTTGGAAGATGACACTGTAATGAGTGGCACAAATCAAGTGTTGAGTTCCAGTTGGACCAGTTCACGTTGTGCTTCCCCTGAAGATTCAAGAAGTAGGAAAGCACCAATTGAATCTATAGAAGAATCGTCTTCTGAGCAGGTTCTGAAGTCAAGCATGAGGCTCAGTAGAAAGTCTGGTGAAGTGCTGAAGGATGGTTGTATAATAGCTTTGTATGCAAGAGATCGTCCGGTGCTTTATGTCTCCAGGCAAAGAATTCAAGGTGGTGGTTGGTTCCTGGACACAATGTCGAATGTAACGAAAAGAGATCCAGCAGCGCAGTTCCTCGTTGTTTTCAGAAGCAAGGTTTGTGTTCAGTTTCTCATTTGTTGGGCTTATTTGCCAGCTTCTATTTCAATTTATGTGGCAGGTGGCATTTGAAGTTGTGAATCTTGTGCTGGCTGATTGATTGGGTATATGCATGACTTTTTGCAGGACACAGGTCACACAATTGGCTTGCGTTCTTTCACTGCTGGTGGAAAATTATTGCAGGTATCTTCTATTCTTACGAGTTCTACTTTATAATCATCGTATCTGTTAGGGAGTTGTTTAAGCACTAGCTTCATCTTGATTTGGAAGTTGCAAGTTGCAAACTTTAAGTTCTATGTTTTTTGGTTGGTACGAAGATCTGACTGTTAACCTTTGCAAAGCATCTTTTAATCACTTTTGGGTGGGATAGGGTTGTGTGTGAGTACCAAGAAGGAAAAAAAAAAAGTGTAATAGGGAGCTAATGCAGTTAACCTTTTTGGGTCTCAGCGACTTCGGAATTTTGAGGAATTCCCATATCTTTGATCACAAGGGATAGTAGGGCATATGTCCATTTATGTCATGCCAGATTCTAGAAGTCAAGTATAATTTCCACTCCTTTGTATAAAATTAGTCTGGAAAAAAAAAAGTGTAATAGGGAGCTAATGCAGTTCAACTTTTTGGGTCTTAGTGACTTTGGAATTTTGAGGAATTCCCATATTTTTTTATCATAAGGGATAGTAGGGCATATGTCCATTTATGTCATGCCAGATTCTAGAAGTCAAGTATAATTTCCACTCCTTTGTATAAAATTAGTCTGGATTAATGGTTGTTCCTTTGAGGAATCCAGCCATCATATTGGAAGCATTTTTTGTAATTGTAATTCAGACATTTTTTATGTTTTATCTTTGCATTATGGTTAGGGATGTCCCTGTGGTGGAAGGGGAGCTCTCCTGTGGGGACCTAGATTTGCTAAAGGCTTTAAAGCACGGACACGGCAGAGATGGGTGCCGTACCAGTGTCGGACACGTGTCTGACATAGACACGTTTGTCCAAGGCTTATGTTTTTCAAAAGAAAATGAGACAGTGGACCTATGTTTTTCAAAAGAAATGAGTTACGTGATGGGCCTACTGTAAATGAGTTATCTTTATTAATATATATAAGAAATTGAGCAAATTTATATCTATATATATATATATATATATATATATATAAATTATATTAATATTTTATTGTCATATCCTTGCTAGTTGCCATTTCTGTTTTCTATTTTTTTTAAAATTTCCGTATTTTTTTTTTCCTAGTTGGTACTCACACACACATGCCTCTACTGAGACTCAAATCCCTGACCTCTCTTTGAGAAGTAGGGACTTGGTACCGCTAGGCCACTGGCCTGTTGGTCCATATCGCCGTGTCCTTGTCGTGTCATATTCGTGTCTCGTGTCCATGTCTATGTCCGCGCTTCTAGGCTAAAGGTCCTGATATACATTTTTGAATAAGCGGGCAATGAATACATTGGTTTATGCGGTGAACTGATACTAATATCTGTGCCGGGTGAAAATTTTGAACTGTTATAGTTTTAATGATGGAAGGGAGTAGGAAAGCGAAAGAGATACACGAGCAAGATTTAGATTTTATTGCCTTGACTGAAGATGTGGCTTCTGACAGGAAGGAAACAATGATAACAAATACGTGACTGTGGTAAGAGTTGGAGGCTGAAATTACTTTGATATCAAAAAGTGTCCAAACTCCTAACCCCATGAAGATGTAAAAAAAGATTGATAAAACTAGTCTTGTACTTGTGTAGATCTCTAGGACTTTGCAATATTTCTTTACATTGACCTGGAAGGTACCATCTGCTTCTGTCTACTTGTTTGGAGTTTGCTATTTCATAGAGAACCAAAAGGCTGATCCTCACCGAAGACATCCGCAATCTCATTCACATTGAGCATTCGAAGTTACTCTATAGATCTCATCAGCCACATCCCTAGCAGTTCCTACTTGTCGGCAGCTTGAAGTTGCTTTAGATCAAGACATAGCTGGGGCTTGTGTCTGGTTCCATATTTTGCTAGATATCTCATTCTCAAATGTGTTGCTTTTTGAAGTTTGCATAATTATAAGGGAAGTGGTATTCCTTAAGTAAGATCTGATGCTCATCTTCCTATTATCTATGAGAATTTCCTTGGAGGAGCTGCATACTTAAGTTTGAGAATATGCATGGTCACAAACAATGTCAAGAGTGAGTTGATTTTATTTATTTATTTTTGAACTGTCATCTAGCATATATCATCATCAACTATCCTTTGTCTTTTATTATAGGTGTATATATATATATTACCATGATAGCATGCGCTTCCTGAATCAGAAGGCTCAGGAAGCTGAACTGTAAATGTGAAAGTTGCTCAATTTCATAATTTATGCTTTCCTCAAGACTGATAATATGAGCATTATCATTCTTTAAGCTATTTCTTTCTTAACATGCTGCATGACTTATGGAGTTTATCCATTAATGTTTCCATTGTCTAAGGATTTTAATTGTATTTCAACATTGCAGATAAATAGAAAAATGGAATTTGTATTTGCAAGTCACAGCTTTGATGTCTGGGAGAGTTGGACACTTGAAGGTTCTTTGGAGGAGTGTAGGCTGGTCAGTTGTAGAAATCCCCTGGTAAGTTTCCTTCATGATTTCACACAATTGCATAAAGTAATTAACTCATTACTACAAACCCTTACAACTGCAGAAGCACCTTGGAAGCAACCAAATATAATATATACCTAGAAATAATGCTTCCCTGTTAGTATAAAAGGAGGTTGATAAGTAATGAGATGGTAGATGATTGGTTTTTTCCCAACATTGGGGGCAGAAGTTGTCTTGGTCGGGGGCAGAAGTTGTCTTGGTTTTCCCAACATTATATATGTTATGAATGTTGGGGACAGAAGTTGTTGTCTTTTCTGGCCTATGATGAACTCTGACATTGTAGATATGAATATATATGTACATATACACATGCGCGCATAATTGGGAAGCGTTTCAAATCTGCACTTCCAACTTCATAAAAACAGGTGTTGGAGGTTAGGTTCAATCTCCATCGGATTTAGAATTGGCAAACTAGCATCTGCAGTTGTATCCATATATGCACCTACTATCATAATATGTGGATTGATATTTAGTCCATCTGCTATGATTATCGGCAATTATGATGCATTTTCACATCCATGCGGATTGATTCAGCCCATAATCTGAGATTTGCAAATGAATAGCTTCATATAAGCAGTTTTTAAAGCTCGTGTGCGCTCACAAAATTGCTGCATTTGATTCAACTGCAGGCTGTTTTAGATGTACGAATCGAGATTCTTGCAGCTCTAGGAGATGACCGGGTTACGCGCTGGCTTGATTAGGTTGTGAACATTGGAGCGCTAAGCAACCTTAAGATATACGTGCCTATACCTTTACATTGAGCTTTGTTAATATTTCCGGAAGAGCTTGTTAAAGTTGTAAAGCATTCAATTTTTGAAGTGAAATCAGGGTTGTAAGTTTCTTGTGTTGTGAGTTACTCCACCTTAATTTTGATTTATTTCTCCATTTATGAGATGTTTTCAATGGTCTTGTCCAACATTTGACAAACAACAACCACCTAAGTCTTTTCCGAATTATTTGGGATCGGCTCTACCCAGTGTTGGACTGTTTCACTTTATTTTAATTGTTGAGGAGTTTCTATGGAGCACCCTCCTTATGAGATGGGGGAGCTAGTCTCGCCTTGCATAATATTGAAAATGAAATTCAATTCTCAACAGATTCAATAATTAAAAAAAAATAAATAAATATGCAAGTATAATCAAATGCTAAGTGATTTTTGTTCATTTGAAAAAATATCCAAGCATAAATTTCTTAATTTTGTAATTGCAAATCTAAAAGAATATAAAAAATAAAGAAGAATTTAGCAATAAAATAATTATTCATTTAGGTTTATGTAATTAATCAAAATGGGTGTAATCAAATGTAAGGAGTCTGGTTTGTTTCAAAATGACTTTAAAGAACGACACCTGTGGGATCTTTGTAATAATACTACAAAGACGGTTTCGTTCAAATGTTTAAGCATCACCTTCTTTTATACCAAAATTTAGAAATGTTCAAACATTATAGGCATTTACGAAAAACAGGTCTCAAATAAAAAATAGTACTGATACATTTTCTTAATTCAAAAAATGCTGAATGATTGATAATTGAGTGAAGTGTAACCTCTCTTTTCACTTTCAAGATGAATTATTTTTCTAACAAAATGTAATCCAAGTACAAGAAATAAATTTACATGTTAAATGGAGAAATTATTTACTATTTGTCATTTGTTGGTAAATATATATATATATATATATATATATATATATATATATAAAGGAGAAATAATTTTTTGGCGTTAAAAAAGTCGTTTTTTTATTTTTATTTTTTTTCTTCTGTCTTACCCTTATCCTTTTGGCCATTCACAGGAAGCCAACCACAATAACTAAACCCAGTTCCTGAAGATATTTACACAATACCACTCCCTACTCACCCAGTGGTGAGTATATCCGTAATTACGCTAATTTCCCAGACCATTTTCCTGACCAACTACCTCGAACCTCTCTCTATACCAAGCCTTAGCAGCACCAAAGACACCACAGAGTGACCTCCAATGGCGTCTCCCGCGCTTTTGCACTGCACTGCCTCTTCGTTTCACAGTCCATTCCCTGCAATTTCAACGAGAACTCCGGTACAGTTAGCCCACGTAAACCCTAGGAATCGATACGGTGGCGGCCTCTCGGTGAAGGCTAGTTCTGGGGTAGTTCTGGTGGAGAAAACTGAGTCAGAGAAGGTGAATCGCCTCAAAACAGCGTATCTCGAAAAGATCGTTCCGTTGCTCAAAGAAGAATTCTCTTATACCAACATTCACCAGGTAACTAGTAATTACTGACCACGAATTATCTCCTTTTCTTTGTAATTTTAGGGTTTCTTAGTTGTTTCTCCGTTTGGTTTCTGAGAAATCCAGGAGAAGAAAATAAATTTGAGTAATGTGTTAGATTTTCTTCATTGCACCATATTAGGAAACAATTGATGAGAAAATGCAACAGAATGATAAAAGATGGAATTTTGAATCTGAGACTAAGCCCAATACACGTATATACACGTGTCTATAGATATATCTAGATAATAGAGCTTTCCAAAAATTACTTAATACTTTTACTGGAGATATTTTTCTACAAGATGTTTAATGTTAAAAAGAAACAATGTCTGGACATAGTTTTTTAGCTTTTTGATGTTGCAATGTGGCATTTGGGTAGGTTCCGAAGGTTGAGAAGATTGTGGTGAACTGTGGTATGGGAGATGCTGCGCAGAACGCGAAGGGGTTGGATGCAGCAGTGAATGATTTAGCCCTCATTACAGGCCAGAGGCCTGTGAAGACACGAGCAAGGAATGCCATTGCCACCTTCAAACTCAGAGAAGGTCAACCAATTGGGATTGCCGTAACTCTCAGAGGATATGTGAGCGTATTTTGCCCTCTTGTCCTACTGAGTTTGAAATGAATTTGCTTTCATGATTTGATATCTTCAGCTTAGAGCTTAGAAGCCTTGATTCTTATCGTTATTGATTGCTGCTTTAGATGCCTAGGATTACACATTTACAATGTCTGTTGATCCAATGCTTTATCAAGAATTAAAGTTTCATACTATTCTTGCTTTAAGTAATTAATACTTATTCGATGGTTTGTTGAAATGGGATAGATTGCCTTGTACAATGTAACAAATTGTCAAAAATGGTTCGAGTTGATATAATTCTGTGCATGATGGCCAAGAAGAGAGACTCAGAAATCTAGCCCAGTATCGTCTTTTAGGGCGTATAAGGGCTAGGGCTAGCTAATTCTCTAGTCGGGAGTATCCAATGCTCACTATTATATGCAATGCTTTCTATGTTCTAATCTTTGTTGGCTGTTGATTAAGGAAACAAAGTTTGGAAATGACACCATGTTCTTGTTTTCTATTTTGAATGTTGATTGGTTAAAGGCCATTGAATAAAGTTAGTCAGATTTTGATGATTGGAGTAGATTCTAATTGCATCAATTTATCGGACAAGGCATGTTATAGATGTTAACATTTAAACTAGTATGATATCCTTTTAGGAGAGTTCAAACTCATCAGTTGGATTTTGTGTTAGTACTCTGTACAAATTTTATGTTTTAGACTAAAAATTATTGGATTGTAACATTCATTTGACAAGCCATGTTGTTATGTTTTCTCTCTTGAATGGTTTAGAGGGCATAATGAACATTCAGAATTGAAAGTTATTGAGTTTTGTCCATTCAATTGCATTGAGGTAAACAGTAGAAATGAAAATAAACTTGATATCATGGCTATGATCCTTAACTTGCTATAACATGAGGGATTCCCTTCTTGGGAATTAATCAATCATATACATCAAAATGCTCTTATCTTCACCCCTTACCCTTGAAGAGAATACTGGTATATTGTGTGAATGCATGATTCTTTTCGAATGGGAGTTTTTTTTTTCGTCTTATTTTACAAGGCCAAATCAAATTTATCTTATCCTGTGAACTTGTTGATTGATTATGACAGATGATGTATTCATTTCTGGATCGGCTGATTAATTTGGGGCTTCCTAGGACAAGGGACTTCCAAGGTGTAAATCCAAACAGTTTCGATGGGCATGGAAATTACAGCATTGGGTTCAAAGAACAGAGTGTTTTCCCTGAGCTAAGCTATGATGCACTTGGTAAGCCAAGAGGAATGGATGTTTGCATTACAACAACAGCTAAAACGGATAAAGAAGCTCACAAACTATTGGCTCTCATGGGAATGCCGTTTAGAGAGGGTGGAGGTTCCACAGCTATGGTGCGCAAGAAGAAGCTGAAGGCTCATCATTTTGATTCAAAATCAAGGGGAAGGGCACGTAGATAGGAGTTATCCTTGTGAGAGACCAAGATTCCTTAAGCCTTTTTTTTTTTTGTAATTGCAGTTTAGTGTTTTGCAGATTAATTGTATGGTGGAAACAAATTGATTGCTCGATAGACATGCAGTTACACTTCCATTATGTCTGATATTAATCACATGTATCATTCCATTTATGCGTGCATACATGTGTCTGGATTCTTGTACTTAATGATCTGTGTTTCTTTCTTTCTTTTTTCTTCTTCTTCCGGAGTATTTTATTTTTGGTTCTCTTCCCTCTTCAAGTTGAAGATGTAGTCTTAACATATGCAGCTTCCAGTTTTCTCTGCTGATATTTTGTTGTTTGTATTTTCCTTAAAATACGAATTCTTTTCCATTTCTGTTAGTTTCCTTTGTTTTTTTCCTCTCCTCTATGTTGGTGATGGTGAAGCAGGAAAAAGAAATGTTCAACTCTTTATCCCAGACATGCTTATTTTCTGAAGGCTGGACTAAGTGACAACTCATGCTTCGCTACTAAATATGATATCCCAACTTCCTACTCTGCTGCTGTGAGCCTGTGACTAGATATCCCGGGACATTGAGGGACGAGCTAATGAAACTTCAGGGTAAATTTCCAATTGTCCCCAGAAACAGCTAGAGCTCCTCTACTCGTGAGATGCTATACAATTTTGCATGTTGGATGCTTGATCAAATAATATATTCATATTCTGAGTTGGTCAATTGAGGATAGTATTTTCTGGATCATACAAGTTAGAATGTTTTGCTCATTTTTTTCTTTGGATTTTCCATTTTACTATCATTGTGGTTTCTTCTCAAATTGTCATGTAATTTGATCGTATGCATGGCATTTTAATACAGTTTCTAAACTTATAATTTTAATTTCATCTCTATTTGTTATCTATCTCCGTGAATGCTATTTGCTTGCCCTCTCCAAGAATTGTGGGCCTCAATTTTTTTTTTTTTTCACTTCTTTGATTTACATTTCATAGCAAGAATAACATTTATGATTGTTTGGATCCAAGTTTACTTTGAGAATTGCTAACACCTGCATTTCATACACGATATTATCAAACTTTTCTCATGTTTCCTCTGTATCCGTATATATCTATGCTCTCAAAGAAACATATTGTAGACCCTGTTTGACATAATTTTGACAATGGTTTATTTTGTCTCCGGGTTTTCGTGAACCTCAAAGATGGTTTGTTTTGTATCCAGGTTTTCATGAACCTGAAAGATAGATTGGTGACTGAGTTCTGGTTCCACCATAAGTTCATAACCGATATACCAACTTGGAGTTTTCGTGAACCTGAAAGATGGTTTGTTCTTTGTGCCAATAATTTGTGGTTAGGGATTCGGATCATCCCGTAATCTGTTTTTGGACACTTGAAAAGAGACCAATCATAGTACCAGGTCCGTCATTGGATGATCTTTCATATACATGTATGGGACAATGCACTGTTCCGGTTGGGAAGTGTGAAAATGCTGAGTAGGAAGTTTTGTGAGATATTATGATGGTTATGAATCTTGAGATATATCATTTTCAACAAGGAATACGGTGTCCAATCCACCTCTCTCAGCACTCTTAATTCCGAAAAATTTATTAGATGGTATTGGACCATTTAATACTTGTGAACTTGAAATTTTTTTATGATATATTAATACACTTTTATAGAGTTATTTTCCCAATTAAATAGTCTAAATTGAATTAATTCACTATGATCCAAGACCATGTAATAATTTCTCCAGTTAATTCGGTATTGGGTTGTGGTATTTCTAGTTCTATTAGAAGCAACTACAAAAGTCTTGCATTGAAGAAGTGACAAGGTCGCAATTAATCAAAATAAATAAATAAAATAAATAAAAGAAAAAAAAGTAACTTCCTACCTTCGTATCTTGGACAAAAAGAAAAAAAAAATTCCAAATCTTTTTTTATAAATTAAGAAAAAGAAAAATTAGTAATAAATGTCACAAAAACTAACAGAACTGACGGAGCTTGTTAATAGAAAATTAAATCCGAAAAAAAAAAAAAAATTTAAATGAAGAAAAAGAGGACTCTACTTATACCAGAGCGAAAGTTATAAAAAAAAATTTTAATATGTTATTGTTAATTGAATTGGTGATTATACTTTCTGCCCCTACGTGTGTATAATGAGAAAAAAAAATAAAAATAAAAAAATAAAAAAATAATAATAATAATAAATAGAAGAAGCCCAAGTCATAAAAAGGAAACTAACATTATAGAACTTTATAACAACAAAAATTCCAAAAATAATAAACAAGACTCCTATAAGACAGAAAAATGAGATTTTGAGAACCTAATAATTTGGCCAAAAAAATCACGCATTACAACATAGTTGTGAATATTAATTGTTGGCCTGTTTCTAATCAAATATGGGGTTCTAAAGGATGGTTTTGAGGCTCTACACCACATTCATTACATAACTGTTAGACTGTTAGTATTAATTGTTTGTTAGTTTTCAATTAAATATGAGTCTTTAAGTGTCAAAACGGCCTCGTCGGAACTGCGTGAAAAAAATATGTCAATGTGTTTGTTTGGTCTCAATTAAGGGTGTAACTTAGGTTGGCCCAACCCAGTCCACCCCTAACCTAACCTCAACCCGAATCGGGTTGGGTTGGGTCAATCCAAATTGTACCCAACATGGGTTGAGTTATAATCCGGACCAAAGATGTTCAGGCGGGTCGGGACGGTTCACGGGTTATTATTATTATTATTTTATATTATATATATATATATATAAAAATTTAATAGTCTAATCACATATATATATATTTGATTTATACATATAACGACGTCTAGTGTAGACTATTAGGTTATTAGTATCTAAATTCATTAGAATTGTTCAAACATCGGATTAAACATTCTTAGAAGTCCTTAACCATGGTTAAAACTTAGTAACTAACCACCAATCAAGTTAACCCAACCATGGTTTACGTCTCATTGCATTAACCGGACCACACGGTCACACTTGTAAGGGTTGACCTCACCTTTAATTGCTTCATAAATAATAACCACGATAGGTGTTGGGTTTAGCATTTGGGCGTATCCCTCTCTACTACATCCACCTCTCTCTCTGTATATCTCTTCTAGTACATCTCTCTCCGTCGAGCTTTCATTTCTCTGATTCGGATCAATATGGAGTACCGTACCTTAGAAATCAACGTTGTCTCCGCAAAAGACCTCAAGAAAGTCAACTTCATCACCAAGATGGAGGTGTACGTCATCGTTTTGATCACTGGCGACCACAGCACCAAGCAGAAGACCATCGTCGATAGAGACAGCGACAACAACCCCACCTGGAACTTCCCCGTGAAATTCACCATAGACGAGTCGGCTGCCCGATAGAACCGCCTGACCCTTGTCTTCAACCTTCGTTGCGAGCGTACCCTTGGCGACAAAGACGTCGGAGAAGTGATTGTTCCGGTCAAAGAGCTCCTCAACCGCCTGACCCTCGTCTTCTTCGTGGATATATATATATATATATATATATTTTAATGAAATGTTTAATTTGGGCTTTCGGGTTGGGTTCGGGTTGAACCCAACCCAAACCGAATAAAGTTGGGTTTTGAAAAAATCCAAGCCGACTTAAACTCGAATTGTAAATTTATATATCCAGATTTTAAAATTTATGGGCTAGACTCGGGTTGGGTTGGGCTAGCCAGTTCAAGTTGCACCCCTAGTCTCAATTCAAACGCGACGTATAGATTTCCACAATCGACTCTACATTATGTTAGTACTCTTTCTCTTTTCTCACTTTTTGTCTTGGATGATTGCAGTATTAGGTCCTTAGACCATAAATGAATAAACTCTCCCATGCCACATGCACAATCAATTATGAAAAAAATAGAAGGGTATATTGCAGTGACACTTTCAAATTTGCTTAAAAGATAGGTAGATATAACTTGGAGAGAGTGTGATCCATTTGCCCTCAAGTTTAAAAACTTGAACAATGACACCTTATTTTCTAAATAAGGAGCCAAACACAACCTTAAGTGACAAAAAATGTCTAATATACCTTGCCATGTATTTTCATCCTCATCTAAAATGACCAAACTATCCTAAGTAATATACATACATACATTTTGTATACTCTTAGTTTTACTCTCATCTCCCATTGTGCTGCCGCGACCACCCCCTCTTAGCAATTAACACCACCAACTATTCTTTTCTTTTTCACCACACATATCAACACGCGGGATGAAGGAAAATGTGAAGGTGAAGGTGATTTCGGGTTCGGATTTGGTATTGACTGATTTGTGGTGGTGGTGGAGCCTAGAGATGAAGGTGAAGGTGGGTGGTAGGCCTAAGTTGGGGTGGTTGTGGAGGTTGCGGTGGTGGCAAGTGGTGAGTGGTGAGTGGTGGTTGCGATGGTGACTGGTGATTGGAGAGAGAAAGAGGTGGTGGCCGGTGGTGGGTGATGTCGGCAATGGTGGTGCTGGTGCCTGGGTAGATGCTAGTAGAAAATTGTATACATGTGGTTGTATATTTATTTAGGATAGTTTGGTCATTTTAGGTGATCAAAGGGTAAATATATATTTTCACCATGGTGGGATGCTATTGTCGAAAAAATAACTTAAGTTGTATCTATCAGTATTTTAAACAAACCTGGATTTCCAGTGCAAGTTATCCAAAATAAAAATAAAACAAAATTCTGAAAGTAATGCCAAGGACTCTGTATCAACTAAAAAAAACACTACTGAACTTTTACTAGATTTCTCAATTCAAAAGTGGTAAAAAAAATTAAAAAAATTCAACTGTGGTAAAAAAAAATATAAAAAAATTCAACTGTCCAACAAATAAAAAAAACATAAAATAAAATAAGGCGACTGTGGTGAGAAGAATCACCGAGGTACCTCAAATATCTCTCAGAGGGTCTTCACTTCCTTTCACCGCCGCCAATTCAACTCTCTCTCTCTATAGATAACATAATTAGAATCTCTTCAGAAAGCAAAGGCTCCGTGTCTTCACTGTTTCATCCACAGAGAAATTTCCCAAACAGAGATGGCCGGTGAGGACAAAAATTTGATCGAAATCCTAGAGGAGAACAACCTTATCGACATCGTCAAGTACATTAACTACGTCCACGCTCCACAATCTGGCGCCATAGCTACTTTCTCCGGCACAACCCGTGACACCTTCCAAGGCAAAACAGTCTTGGAGCTAAGGTACGAAGCCTATGTTCCAATGGCCATTCGCTGCATCAAATCCATTTGTTCATCGGCTCGCTCGTCATGGAATCTCAGCTCCATTGCAGTTGCCCACCGCCTCGGCATCGTCCCCGTCGGCGAAACCAGTGTCTTTATCGCCATATCGGCCGTTCATCGGGCCGATGCACTCGACGCTTGTAAATTCGTGATTGATGAGATCAAGGCTTCGGTGCCGATATGGAAGAAGGAGGTTTATGATAATGGCGAGGTGTGGAAGGAGAATTCGGAGTTTTTTGGTCGGAGAGAGAGTGGAGCTGAAAAGGGTTGCTGTGGGATTAAGGTGAAAGTGGATGATCAAGTGGGTGATTGACTCCGGGAACCACTGAATTAGGGTTTTGGAGAACAATGGTAAGATCTTATTTTTATGCTTTGTTTTTCTTTTCTTTTTTAATCTCTCTCATTTTTATTTTTATTTTTGGTTTCTTCATGTAATCTGAATAATTCAAACAATTAATCATGTACTGTAATACTTGATAAGAAATAATTATGTAGTACAAATAGAGGTGCAAGAGCACGGCTCATCTTGTTACACTTGCACACACAAACGTCTATATTTGCATGTTGCATTATAAATATGCATATTTCTATGTAATGTCTCTTGAAAAATTCATACTGGAAGTTGATTTAATGTGGTATTCTGACTCAAACCAATTTACCATGAAAGCTGAAAATATGGTGGGGTCTTCAACATGTTAATCAGGCTTCAAGCATAGTGGCTTATTGGACTTGAAGGCACAAGTTCATATGTGTATTTCAAAGTGTGGAGTACTTTATGCAGCTCAGTTTTTCATGTTGCAGTAGGCAGTGAATTCAAGTGATAAGACTTCATGATGAACTTAAGGATTTGATATCTCCATAATCGAATGCTTGAATACTTCTCAGAAGTGAAATAAAGGAGAGCTTTTGGGACATTAGAATCTAAGGAGAAAATGGTATGACAGTCTTTCTTATAAAATACACTTCATGCAAATAAACAGTATTCCCTAATCTATTTCTAAAATTTAATCGACAAATTACAAGACTATAGCTAATAAGTAATGTTTACTTTAAATGATTTACTCTCACAGCATAGTTGAGTTGGCATATAGTTTCTGGTCATAACTCAAAGGTCTCATGGTCAAGTGCTGAAGGCGTTAAGCCTTTGCCCTTGGCTTACCCAATACCCTTGGCTCGGGTTGTTTATGTGTATCTGAAGGGATTAGTCCTACGGACACCCTCCGTTACCCAAAAAAAGGGAAAAATCTGTGGAGATTGGAGGAGAGGCATCTAGAGGCTCTGAAGCAAGATGTGTAAAGCATATAACTGGTTGATTAGAAGTCAAATGTGTTCACTTTTTAATATGGAAAGGTTGGATAAGCTGTATAGGGGTTTTCTATGGGGAGGCATGCGGACGAGATAAAGTTAAGCATAACTTGTTACGTTGAGACTTGGTGTGCTATCCATTGAAAGATGTGAGTTAGCATTCTTTGGGTGGGCAGTTGTTTCAGAGAAGATTCTAATTATTGATAACCTGATTAAAGATTCTAGCTATTGACAACTTGATCAAAGACACCAACTCATAGTCATTGAGCCACTTGTTGATGCACTGTTAGGTGCAATAGATCTACTAATCCTTCTTTCTTCAGAGTGTATTGGATCATGCTCAACTCCACAGCAGGCGCTGAATAGGTGGGGAGGGTGTAGAATCATAGGAGAGCTAGAGTAATTTGGCAAGCAGCGTCACTCTTTGTTTGGGGTTTTTGGTGGAGAGGAACAGATGTCCCTTTGATGTGGTAGAGGTAGAGTTACCTGTTTGGGAGTGAAGTATCTGATATTGAATTTTTATTAAAATTCAAAGCTTCATTACTCCCCCTCCCTCAGCCACCCCCACCCCCACCCACAAATATATAGTTTCTGGGAATTTACCCACTTCTTTGTGCCATGATTTCTGGCTAAGAACTTGGATCATCCTGTAATTTGTGTTTGGCAACACCTATTCACCATCTATATAGAAAATAGATCATGCATAGTACAATTTTTGCATTGATTGCTTTATGTAATAGTCATGGTGTTGAAGTAAAAGTAGATTTTTCATGGCAATTATTACCAGTATCTGGTTCTAGGAATGGAGTAGTATTCGAATGTAAAGCACCCGGTTAAATCTTTGTTGTGGGAGCCAGGGAAATAGCTTTGGAAATATCAGTTGCAAAAGTAAATTTCATCCTTCGAGTAGACAGCAGCACTTAGTGATCCAAATATGTGTTTTAAGATAACGATTTTTGCAGATGTAAATAGAGTGATTCTACCAAATCAGATGCAGTAATTTTTTTTAAAAAAAATTTCTTTTTGAAGATCAGAATTTTTGCAGTGGACAATGTGAATTTGTATGAAGATTAGAAGAATATAAAAAAGATTGAATAACTGGAAAATTTAGATAGCGACACTGAAGCAGGTTTAGGATAGTGGTTGAAAATGGAACTTCTCTAGGTGAACTTCTCTAGGTTATGATGTAGAAAAGCATAGGTGAACCCTAAGAATGTTAATGGCAGAGGTGGCTCCATGTACGTGTAAGTTTCAAATCTTTCATTTGCTAAGCGACTTTAAAGCTCACAGTTCATTGTTCATATCATTCTCATAATGATACTGAGGAGGAGGAGGAGGAGGAGGAGGAGGAGGAGGAGGAGGAGGAGATAGATTGCAACTGAACACTACTATTTATCCATTTGCATTGATTTCTTTTGAAACTGCATTTCTTCATTTGAGCATTTGAACTTTAGATTGGACTGGAGCCTGAAAGGGCTTTGCAGACAGCCTTATGTCTTTAAGGACCATTTCATATTTGCACCAAAAGCAACTGGCAGTGCCCTGTGCTCTTTTTGGTACTCGCAATTTTTCTGTCCATCCTACATGTCCTAATCTGGTGCAATGTCTACATTTATGGGAAAATCTGAATTGGATTTGTTTTTGGTCTTGACATGTGACAGGTGCAGTGAATGAAATAGAAGATGGCTCCATATCAGGTTGTGCTATAGAGCAATTTTGTTGGTTAACATGGAGCGGGTCTGAAGTTTCTCTCTTGTATTTATAACCTTGGCTTCAGATATTGTGATTGTGATTCTCAATATAGCTATATGGATCTGAAGTTTCTCTCTTGTAGTTGTAGCCTTGGTTTCAGTTAAAGCGATTGTGGATTTTCAATATAACCATAAAATTGAAAGAGCAGACATTCCTTAATTGCTAAATTAGATAAAATCAGGGATTGATAATGAGGAGAATACTGCAAAATATGGCCAATTTTTTATTTTTATTTTATTTTATTTTTTTTAAACCAGGCAACTACGAGTTTGCAAGAGAAATTTCGGATATGTGCAATTATCGACAAATCATTTTAGGAGAGTCGAAAGAATGGAGATGACTGAGTTTAGGGGTCATTCCAAATGATCCTGAATCAGGGCTAAGATACTTGGATTGAAAAAATCAGGGATAAGATACTTGGATTGAAAAATCATGCAACTTAGAAAAGACCTTTATGTAGACGTTGAAACTTGTTTATCCAATTATTTTGGGATGACAAATGTGGCTTACAGAGACGAGGACAAAAGAGCTAAAACACATCAGAAAATGATGGCCATTTTATGGTACTCTTAACCTCTTTGCTACTAATGATGCTCATCATGGGACACCAATCTGCTCCCGTGCCCCTCTCATTGGACTGAGATGAAATCACCTCAGTCCATTTGCCAGTCAGCATTCAATCATTGTCTTACACAACAAAGTTACTGTACTATTTTTTTTACCACATGTACTAATATTTCATACACTTATACTAATACATCATATATTTATACATTATACATATAATAATACATTATATATAATTATATTTAACTTTTACCTTTTAGTAAAATTACAAATCCTTAATTTCTCTCCTCTCCTCTCGTTTTCGTCTGAACTTCCACAGTTCTTCTTCCTTCCAATCTCAGTGAAGGTTAATTTGGAGTAAAATTACAAATCCCTAATCTCTCTCCTCTCCTCTCCACTTTGTCTTCATCTTAACTTCGACTGTTCTTCTTCCTTCCAATATCAGTGAAGTTTAATTTGGAGTAAAATTACAAATCCCTAATCTCTCTCCTCTCCTCTTCGTCCTCGTTTTCGTCTGAGTTTGAACTTCGAATGTTCTTCTTCCTTCCAAATCCATTAACATAAATACCCAAAAACACTCGCATAAATATAGGGTTTGTATCATAAAAGTACATGCAATTTTACTTGTAAAAATGAAGTATATATACTTTTCATAAATTAGAATTAAAAGAAAGGAAAAAAAATAGCATTTACACTTCACTTTTCTTTATTTGCACTAATATTTATTTTTTATTTTTTATTTTTAAATAATGGCATAATTGCCTCATTAAAACAAACTCTATAATTTTTTATTTTATTTTATTTTAATACTGGATAATTTTGTTTTAATTAATTCATATAGTTATAAGTGGATTGCAAAAATTACAAATAATAATAATAATTTTGGTTGAAATAATTCATGGAATAAGTGGACGGAATATTATTACATTAAAAGAGAAATAAAAAAAGAACATGCATATAAACGACGGCGCATCATAGCATCTTATCTAGGGTTTCAGTCACCCCCAGGCCGCAGAGAGAGCGTACTTAAACTAGCATAGGAGAGACAAAGGTATTGTTTTGCCTCTGGTAGTCGCCGTCTATTCGCCGTTTCAACAATGGTATCTCTCTCTTTGGTGTTTAAGCTTTTGTTTCACTCTGAAGACAATCAGACGCACGCACTCACACACACATGTATCTTACTTATTCATATTTGTTTCAGATCATTCCAGAGAAGAACCGGAGGGAAATCTCCAAATATCTCTTTCAAGGTCTTCACTTTCTTCCACTTTCACTTCAATCGCTGTGCGTGTGTGTGTGTGTTTATATATATTAATTTATATCCGCTATTCATTTTTCACATTTATACGTATGTGCAGAGGGTGTATGCTACGCGAAGAAGGACTACAACCTCGCAAAGCACCCCGAAATCGATGTCCCCAACCTGCAGGTGATCAAGCTCATGCAGAGCTTCAAATCCAAGGAGTACGTGCGCGAGACCTTCGCTTGGATGCACTACTACTGGTATTTGACCAACGATGGCATTGAATTTCTCCGAAATTATCTCAATTTGCCTTCCGAGATCGTTCCCAATACTCTGAAGAGATCGGCTCGCCCTCCCGGTAGACCTCTCGGTGGTGGTCCGCCCGGTGATCGCCCTCGGTAAGTTCAGAGCTTTTGGGGTTAATTTAGCTGTGTATCGTCAATTTATTGTCATTTCAATTGTTTTAGGTTCATAAGTGGAATTATTGACTAATATACTTTTACCAGTTTGAATGTGGTTGGTGTTTGCTAGTTTAGTTTATGGGGAATATCGAATTATTTTTTAATGTCACTGGTTCGCTAATCTATTCTTAGTCATAGTTCTTATTGCTTGATTTTCCGAATATTTGATCTTTCTGTCTTTTGTTTGTTTAGTACACACTGTATGATTTATTCATTATTAGCTAATATAGTTTGTTGGACATTATAATCAATTGTTTATATGTGAATTTGACAGTGAGTATGGGCGCTGCAGTGTGATTTTGTGGTGGTGTTATTGTTTGTTAGTTCGTTCTATTGGGTACTGTGAGTTGATTGTGGTAGAGGTTGTTTACGTGTATTTTGGTAGTCGTTCCAGCTCTAACAATTTGCATTTCCATCAAAGCTTTTTAGTTTATTGGGATGACTGTATGAATTCTTTTGTTATTCTTTTCATCAATTAATTTTGATGATGTCTTTTTGGGTTAATGTGTGAATTCTGCTAATGATTGCTCCAACTGTTCGGTTTTGTTTTGTTTTAGTTAGTTATACACTTATTATTTATCTTTTAGATGACCTTCAGAGTAAATCCTGAATCCTGTTCCAGTCAACCATTACAACTATGTGGGATGAGCTCACCTTAAACTTCCTCTTACTTTTCACTCTCCAGTCTCCACTTTATGGCAGTCTCTCAACTCCTTTCAACAGGGATATCATACAACCACCCATAAAAAGTGCCAACCAACTCCAGTTCTCGATCCTCTAGTGCCTAATGTATCTGGGCTCCCAAAAGAACGCTGCTGTGAGTGCAGTCCTATTTTTTTTAATGCAATTAGCTATAACCTCATTGTTCAAAGTAATCTCGAAATGAGCAATGGAAAACTTTCAATGGGGCATCTGTACACCACAGATCATCCCAGAACCTCACCTTTCTCGTTTGGGTGAATAACCCTCACGACCCCTCTGGTTATGAAAAAATCACAGATTTCCTCTTACCGATACGTGACCGTTTGAGTGGCTAAAAAAACTCTGGTCCCAAAAGAACACTGCTGTGAGTGCAGTCCTATTTTTTTCATGCAATTAGCTATAACCTCATTGTTCAAAGTAATCTCGAAATGAGCAATGGACAACTTTCAATGGGGCATCTGTACACCACAGATCATCCCGGAACCTCACCTTTCTCGTTTGGGTGAATAACCCTCACCACCCCTCTGGTTATGAAAAAATCACAGATTTCCTCTTACTGATACGTGACCGTTTGAGTGGCTAAAAAAAGCATTGAAGTGACCAAACTGCCCTTAAGTGCACTAAATTTACAAGAGTACGCTTGTAGTTGTTTGTAATGACTTGTATACCCATTACAAATTTGACCAAAATACCCTCACTATTTAGGTACTTTTGGCTCCCTTTTTTCTGCTTTTCCCTCCAAATTGTCAACCACCAAGCTCTCTCTCTCTAAAATCCATATGACCAGGATTGTTCTCTCTCTCTCTCTGTCACACACACACACACACACAATGAATTGTAAATAAGAACTTCCCATTCGGATCCTGCCGTACAAACTCCGGAGCCCTGATATTCAGCCCACAGGCCCTACAGCCTTCAAACTATATGTTATACTCTTCTCATTAACTTTCAGGTACTTCAGTAAGTTATTGGTCCTACGTTTGTATCTTCAATCTTTTAAAAAAAAAAAAAAAAACTTTTAAAAGTATTACAGCAAACATTCTTGATTTGATTTTGATTCATCATCTCTCTGTTATTTTTATAGTTTTCTTTTTTCTGCTTCTTTTTATGTAATTTTTATTGTATTTTAGTTTATTTTCTCTTTCTATACAAGTGTATTGAAAAGGGATTGTGGTTCTCGATGATGAACAAATGAATAAGATGACGAGTCCGATCTCAATTCATTCCATTCAATCATGACGATGAATCGAGGCATTTGTCTGAGAGAGAACCCCTCCTAATCCTTTTTTCTTTTTCCCTTCAAGTCCTCAACTATTTTATGATAATGGTAATAATTTTTGTTTTTAATATAAGCAGAATTATTATCGCATATTTTATCTAACCCACAGAGGAGCTTCTCATTGTTTTCACCATGGCTAAGGAATTCGTGCAATCTGGGATTGCACATATTTGTAACTTTTGAAAAGTCTTGCTCATGAAACAATTATAATTATTGGAAAAACAAATAAGTACAAATAGAAACTCTGTGTATTTGCAAAATCTAAGATGTGTAAATTAATAATAGAAGGATGATTACTTGTTTCATTGAGTTTCCAAAAAAAAAAAAAAAATTCAGAATTATTAGTTGGAGTGTGGCATATTGATGATAAAATCAAAAGAGAGATTAAGAGATGAACTTTAGTGGAGAGAGAGATGAGAGATGTCAGATAAATGTCTTTGCTTGAGTATAAAAATGGTATGGGCATTTTTGTCCTTTTAAATAAAGTTAATTACATCATCAAAACGTCAGCAATTTTGGTCTTTAGAGTGAGGGTATAAACATAATTTCACAGCTTCTGTTTGGCACATGTAACTAGACTAACTTCTGACAGGGGGTGGTTGAAGGTATTTTTGCAAAAATTTCATCCTAGGGTGAAAAGGTGCAACCACACGGGTGGTGAGGGTATTTAACCTTTCTTGTTCACTACACGTGAAAAAACTTCTAACATCTCATTTTTAGATGCTATTAACTGATTGTGATTTATTTGGGTTTCACTAATATATTTTTTTCTTCGTTAGTACTCACACACACACGCCTCTACTGAGACTTGAACCCCTAATCTCCTTTTGGAAAGTAGGGGCTTGATACCGCTAGGCCATTGACCCGTTGGTAATTATTGATAGATGGTTAAAGGGTTTCACTAATATGTTAATTTGCTGGTAGCTGCATTTGTAATAGTTTGCTGTGATACGGGATTGCAATGTCTTTTAGGACTTGTAAAATGTGACTTCTTTTAATAATTGCAGTTCTTATAGTTCTATTTTTATTGTTGTTTACTAATTTAATCTGGGGAATGGTTAATTGGATCAGCTTTTTGGGATATGTTATTTATTTAGTTGACAGTTATACTTCTACCTTAACCCTAATTTTCTTGTCCATTTTGAATTGTTTATTAATTCTGGTATTTTTTGGTTTTTTGATGGGTAAAATTGACAGGGGTCCGTCTAGATTTGAAGGAGATAGACCAAGGTTTGGTGACCGTGATGGGTATCGTGGAGGTCCAAGAGGGCCTCCAGGTGAGTTTGGTGACAAGGGAGGAGCTCCAGCTGACTACCAACCCTCATTTAGGGTAATTTGTCTTTATTTTTTTCCTAGTCTTTTTGTGTATATTTGGAGTTTATCATTAGTATCATTGCACTTAACTGTGGTTAAGAAACTTATAATGTGAAAATATTATATAACTGAAATTGTTCCTTTTTTTATATGCGAGTGTTTATTTTGTTAACTAATGCCATGCAACAAGTCAAATTATGCTAGAGAATCAAATATTGAGTTTTAAAAAAGGAAATGTTTCAAAATTTTATATTCAATCGAACTGTTAGCCATTAATTTTGTATATTCTATTACTTTAAATTCATATACTTGTATTCATTAAAACAAATACTTATGAAATAATATTAAGGGCTAAAAAAATTAAAAATTAAAAATTTGCACCCCAACGCACGTTTTTGTAACATATCTGTGATGGAGTAATATACTAAATGGATGTGAATCTATAAGAATATAAGAACAGATTCTGTTTTGACTTTGTCGAATACGTAACTGACATATTCGACAAATTGGGGATTGAGTGGTTGCCTTGATAATATACCTTTTTTTATTTCTTTGCCGTTATGCGATCTCAGTTTGACTTGAGAAATTGAGAATGAGAAGGGTCGGGGATATTATCATTATATAACAGAACCTAGCCTTTCATAGTTTTATAATTTTATTCAAATTGCTTCACTTGCACATGCAGGGTCCTGGGGGAAGGCCTGGTTTCGGTCGTGGAGGTGGCGGTGCTGGGCCAGCTAGTGAAAGTTTTTCTTAAGAGGTGTGTGTGGTAGTAGTTCAAAGCTCTTTGATTGGCCCTTAAGGGATCTGACCAAAGAATTTTGGTTGTTCTGTTTCTTTGAAAATATTCTAGACCATTTCATGGTTCTATATAAGTTTGTATTGTGATATGCATTTTTGTTCTTTTTGACTGTTTGTACTTTTTAGTACCATGGAACCTATTGACACTATTACTTATGTGGTTTAAATCTATTTCCAAGATCACTGCTGTTACCATTTATTTTTCAATTTCTCTAAAATTGTTCTCTCTTCAAGACTGGATAGACTTGAATGTGGGTCGATACACGATCGAAATAAGCAGCCATCTGGAAAGACGATGGCTCTCATCATTTAGTAATTTATGGATGTTGTCTTACCTTAGTTTCAAAATTGCTAAAGATGCAAATTGGTATATTATTGCAGATTTTGTCATTGGAATTTTCATTTTATTCTATGTTGAGGTTATATTATTGTAGATTTTGTCATTGGAATTTTCATTTTATTCAATTGAAAAAGACCCTCTATTAACATGAAATATGGAGGTCACTCTCAGTTGAAAAAGGGTTGTAAATATTCATGCATAAGGGCTTGGAAACCATCGTCGGGGTTTTTTTTCCCACCTAATAAATGTCCTCGAGACTTGCCGCAGCAGTGAACGTTGAAACTACTCTCAATTTTGGAGGAGTGAAACTCGGCATACAGATATGGATGGTAAATTTTTTAATTTTTTACTGGTAACCCTTCTTCCACTAGTTTTAAAACTGGCATGCTTAGAATGCATCATGACACAGTATGTATGCGCACGCACTCTCTCTTAGTTGTTTATGCATTTTTTTTTTTTTTTTAAACTTGAAATTACTAATCCACGAATGGATGGAATAATTCTACAATTTAGTATGAAATATTTTGGTCAATAATTTAAATTGTACTAATCAATATGGGATGGAAGAGACAAGCTTGTAATTTTGCATTTTTAATTCAATTGAGTCTGTATTCTGTATTTTTTAGATATGATATGAGCCAGCAATCCATCTATTTCTCTTATTTGTGTACCCAGATTTGCAATTAAACCATTCATTTATTTAGGTATGTGATTATTTCAATTCTGACCATAACCTTTCTTCATATTTAACCTCGATCCTTCATGTCTCCAAGTGCTCAAAATGTTCCATTGTAGGCTGAATTGATGGAATGAAAATAAAGTTAGTTTTTATTTATTTATATAAATTGTAATATTTTCTTTTACAATTTAATTTTGAGGAGAAGATTGTTAATAAAATAAATGTATTCTATAAACCACCGAGTGCAAAAAATGGGAAAATAATAGGGCTAGATGTTATATTTGGAATATTTAGTTTTCATTCAGATGTTATATTTGGAATATTTAGTTTTCATTCAAGAAGTGGACCTAAAAAGATTTAAATTGAGATTCTTCATTTTTTATTTTTATTTTTGGCAAACAAGATTAATTTATTCCTTCGAAATAAACTGAAGGTACATCAAGCGCTTTGATGGGCAAAATTTTAATCTTTTATGTATTTTGAAAAGTTCTCTACACTCTCTTCAGTTATTTATTATTATTATTATTACTTTTTGTCATTAGTAAGAAATATACTTACACTTTTTGTTTAGGAGCTCAAATCCCTTCCCTTCTCTCTAAAGATGAAGAAGTCACTTAGTTAAATGCCGTTACAAAGTACTTATTGACAAGTTACATAAACTTTTATTCTTCTCATTATTATTTCTTAATCTTGATGTTAGGAACATGAAGACAATAATGGGATGGGCATTTATCTAAATTATAAAGTTTGGTTAATTAATTATGGGAATGGAACTAAGGGCTAAGATTTCAACTAATACCTTCAACACAGATTTTAACCTAACATATTTCATTATAGATCCAATAAAGAATTATCAAAATTATTCAATTTCGGTTATTTTTCACTAACTCATTATTTAATTTCGTGAAGTACTTGCAACTCATACCTAATATTATTCACGTTCCACTTTTGAGAGGTATTTATTTAATTACTTTCATCTTTATGGGTAAATGAAACTATTAGAGTTTCTCTAATTTTTTTATTATTATTATTTTTTTATAAAACGGAGAACATATAGTTAAAATATTAGAAGCGTAGTATGAAAAGGTTTTTTTTTTCCTACCAAAAAAAAAAAATTGTTGTAAGTCACAATTGCGTTATTGGATGTTTGTAAATCTTGCAAAGATATTATGAATTTAATAAAAAAAAAATTTGACCGTATGAATTTAATAATTAAATCACACTATATTTAACGAATGACGTAGCTAACATAATTTTTTAGATCACGAATATTGAAATGTCAAAAAAGGGTTTAGACAGCCTAATTGGGATTTAGAATTTTCATTTTTGCAAGGACTAGGGTTGTAATTTGCAAACCAGTGCAAACGCATTCGGGTTATTCAAACCGGACGGTTTCAATGCCATTTTGGCATTCGATTTTCAGATATCAAGGGTTAAACCAGCCCCAGATTGAACCGTATATAATTTTCTCCTCATATATCAATCCACCGATACACATTACATACATATCAGAAGAAAACATTCCCTCCTCTCCTTGTCTCTCTCTCTCTCTCTCTGCAGTCTACACCTACTAAGTCCGCCATGGTGTTTCCGTACATGGAAGCTGTTATTGGTGCGATTTTTCTCTCTAAACCCCTCTCTCTTCCTATATCTATGCTCATGTATATATATATGTATGGCTTTCTTGCCTTTATTTTGTGCAACGTTTTTGTTGCGTTCTGATTTTTCCTTTTTCTTTATTTTTTTTTCCTTCACTGAATTCTATTGTTAATGCATTGTTCCATTTGTAGGGTTTATTGATTAACGTTTCTTGAAAAAGTTATATTTTTTTAGGGTTTTATTAGTGTGTTTAGTTGATTTTTGTGCTTATTAGTGTGAAGTTTCATGGAAATAGTCGTTAGGGTTTTGTTTGTTTCCTGTTGAAATTATTGCTCAAGAACACAATGGGGTCTCTCTCTCATTTTATGTTGGTGTACATCTTGCTGCACCAATCTTTCCTTGAAAAGAAAGATTTGAGCAGGGAAGTGTCCAAAAAATATTTACAATGAAGCCCCAAAGTCTCCTTTAAAGAATATGTGGCGTGCTGTCATAGCCCAGAAGCTTTCTTTTGATGAAGAGAAATTGCGTGACATACTGGGTTTACGCAATAGCTCATGATGATTGCCAATACAACTCAGATTTTTATAATCTAAAATGGCAAAGTGAAGATTCTCCAATCTCAGCACAGGCTAAGGAATATAGAATTAACCTTAACTAAAATTAATACTGGCCCAGAGAATGGAATGTTTTAATAGGTATCCACCAAGACAATATAGATAAATTTATTATTTCCAAATGTGAAATTTCTTTCACATATTTGTCCAGATTGACATTTTATTTTTGTTTGTTTGTTTTGTTTTTTTTTTTTTAAAGTTTTTTTTTTTGGTTTTGGTATGGTTTTATTTTTTTTGGTTTGTAAATCGCAATGTGGTGCTTGCTTGCTGCTCTCTTTGCATATGAAACTCTACACCCATGAACAAAAGTTTTGTATTTAAAGTTTGTTTGGGGTTATATTCTTTCTTACTAACTATTGCATTTTCAATTCTTTATGTTATGGGTTTTTCAGGTTTTATGATATTGATGTATATCTTTGAAACTTATCTTGACACGCGGCAGCATGCTGCTCTTAAACTGCCCACACTTCCAAAAACTTTGGAAGGAGTGATCAGTCAAGAAAAGTTTGAAAAATCCCGAGCCTATAGTCTTGATAAAAGGTTTGTTTCACAATTTTTTTCTTGTGTGGATTTGTTGCAGTTGGTCATCAAGTTTCTTCATGCATACTTATGTTTGAGACTTATTACTAATGTTTCTTTTGGTTTTGGAATTTTTTCTTTAACTTTCAGCAACTTCCATTTTGTTCATGAGTTTGTAACTATACTGTGGGACTCTGCAATTTTGTTATTTGGGTTATTGCCCTGGTTTTGGAAGGTGAGTGTTTCAGTGGTGTGTTTGATGGACCCTTTTGCCACTAGAGAATTCCTGAGTATCTAATTTTGTTTATTGACTACAGAGATCAGGAGACTTTGTTGTTTCTATCGGCCTTAATGCAGAGAATGAGATATTACACACACTTGCATTCTTAGCTGGTGTTATGTTCTGGTCACAGGTACATATATTAACTCTCTTATTTACTTGACAAGATAAAAAAAAAATCTGGTTCATTGTGTTCAATGAAATTCCACTAGAACGATTTTAGGTTGTCCTTGGATATCATGATCTGCTTAGGAGAAATGACTAAATATCAGACATGCACACATATATTTTAGGTATATCCATTATAATAACGGATTTTTTGGATGGACAATGAAATTCCTCTAGAATGATTATAGTCTGTCTTCAGATACTATGATCTGTTTAGAAACAATATTGATAATGATACATATGTATATATGTACACACATGTTTATATATATTAAATGTCCATCGGGAAAAGACATATTTGGAACTAGGAAACAAACTTACAATCTCAATTGGGAAATATGATTAAATCTAAATTGAGACGATTTAGATGTTTTTCCGAAATGCACTGGATGTGTAATATATTTATTGTGTGTACAGGGTTACCATATAATTTCAAATTAATATGCTACTATTGGATGTGTTTTTATTTTTTATTTTATTTTTTTATTTTTATTTTTTTATTATGGAATGAAATCACAATGCATGACCATGATATGTTTTTGAAATTCCTCTGCAGATTACTGATTTGCCATTTTCTCTGTACTCAACATTTGTGATCGAGACCCGCCATGGTTTCAACAAAGTCTGTATTCTCCCTTGATCTTTTGTCATGTTTACGACTTATTTTATTTTATTTTTTTGTCTGTAGCTCTTTTCTTTTTGGTTGAATTGTTTTCTAAAATGTATGCATTTATGTTTTACAGCAAACAATATGGTTATTTATTAGGGACATCATCAAAGGAATCGTCCTATCTATTGTAATTGGGCCGCCTATAGTGGCTGCAATCATTGTAATAGTACAGGTAGAGTAATTTCTTAGTTTCCAAAGTGATATAATTCACTTTGTTGCATGTTCCTATTTTGAAGTGTTTGTCATGCTTGGATTAATAGCTTGCTATTTTTGGATATGATGTTTTGCGGTCCATTTCAACCTGCATTCTCAATACTGGCCTCTTCAGTTATTAGCGACTATTACTAATGATGGTCACTCTTCTGGTGCAGAATGGAGGTCCCTACTTGGCCATCTATCTTTGGGGGTTTATGCTTGTTCTGTCGCTTGTGATGATGACTCTTTATCCTATTTTAATAGCACCACTTTTCAACAAGTTCACACCAGTGAGTATTGGGATTTATTTCCATTATTGAAGAAATCCTACAAGGCAATGTATAATTTAACGATAATTCTATGTCATCTTGCAACAAATAGCTTCCAGATGGAGTGCTTAGGGAGAAAATTGAGAAGCTTGCTTCGTCCCTCAAGTTTCCCTTAAAGAAGTTGTTTGTTGTTGATGGATCCACAAGGTCAAGCCATAGCAATGTGAGGATTCTTCTTGGTTTATTTAATTGGGACTTTTGCTTGTATTTCTTTAAATTTTGTTCTTTGTTTTTCCCTTGTAGTTTCTTATCTCTATTTTTAGTTCAGTTTCAGCTTAGATGGCATACAATGCTATTTAAGATTGGAATGTGAGATGGCAATTTTGACATTAAATTCTAGGTCGAATTTAATCGACTTAAAATTGGACTTAACTTGCTTCTTATATGTAACGGTCTTTTTTTTATTTAAAAAAAAAAACAGTAGAAATTTAAAGGGCTATGAAACACAGTTGTTTTTTACTTATGGAGTGTTTTTTTTTTTTTGAAGTAATATCCCTCTCTGGTAACTTTTTATGGCCCAATAATCTATTCTTTACCCCAATATATTCATCATGTTCTTCTTGTTGAAGGAGTTTGGAACCTAAAATTTTGGGTTAATTTCACTCACACCCCCCTTAGGTTTGGCCATTTTTCACTTAGGGTTAATTTCAGCGAGAACTGTTTGGCCGAAACTATTTGTTTTGGGGTTGATTTGTGAAGTGATTTTCTGGTTGATTGCAAATTCGTTCATGGGAGAGCCTGAATATATCTACGATTGAATGATTTCGGGCCTCATTAATTTGCATTAAAAGCTTGAAGAATATAAAAATGGTGGAATAAAAAACGCCAACCACTGCCTCTGCCAACATCAAAATTGCCACCACCGCATCTTCGTTGCTGCTCCGGCAAATCCAATCGCAACCCACGGCGACGACATCGGTTAGACATGGAGGCGAAGGCACCCAGATCGGTTGGGCACCACCCCATCTTCGTTGCTGCTCAGGCAATTCCAATCGCAACCCATGACGACGACATTGGTTAGGCACGGAGGCGATGGCACCCAGACCACTTGACGTTGACGTGACTGACATCTGAGGCCTTGACGGCTTTGCTGGGCAGACAGCTGTACACGGCGTGGTTCTTCAAGCACCCTTGTAACTGGATTTCCTTAACGCCCCGCCGTCGTCTCCTGCGCCTACCCCGCCGCCGCCTCTTGCACCGACATCCTCGTTGGTGTTGGTGGTGGTGTTGTGCTTGTGTTTATAATATATATATGTCTGTATGTGTCTATATATACGTGTATATACATGTTTGTCTATATATATATATATATATATATATATATAATTTGGTAATTTTACAAAAAAATTAGTGGTATTTTAATCTTTTAATATAATTCTTAGGCTAAAGAGTTGTTTTGACAAAATCAAAGGGTATTTAAGTCATTTTACATCGTGTCAGAATTGTTCAAGTAACGGTTGGGGTGTGAGTGAAAAACGGAGCAAAAGTTTGTAATTTGAGTGTTAGTTATTTTCGAAAGATGTTTGAAGGTGAAAATTGGCCAAACCTGAGAGTGTGTTACTGAAATTAACCCTAAAATTTTTTGCTTGCTTTACAACGTTCATTCATTTTAATTTATATTTCTCAAGTTCAATATGCATCCGAGGGATGACATAACTATTTCAGCAATCATGTCTTTTTGATAAGAAAAATACACGCTTTTAGTGAAAAGGTAGGTTTTTCACAACACTCAATTTTGCAAACACACTAAAGGATAGAAAATTAGAGTTGGAAATATTATATTGTACTGTAAAAGGCAGTAACGGGTTTATGGCTGAAATTTTACTTTCATTTTGGAATAAAGAGACAACTCTGCTGACTCTGGCAAATATCAAATGTGATGACAATGGCAACTTCTGAATTTGACAACGCTGATGAGTTGGCTGTTGGAGGGAGACATTGGGTTGAGAGAGATGTAGATTGTAGACGGTAGATAATAGAGAGATTTGAGATGAATATAGACAAAGAGGGATGCTTAAGATATCATGAGTTGAAGATAGGATAGTAAAATAGATATATAGTCACAGTGCGATGGGGCACCTTTAACCCAAAGCCTTTCCTAAACCTTATTCTGTTGTGGTCCGTCCTTCCTGGAATTGCTTGTCCTCTTAAACCCTCTCTCCCCACAGGTATCCCAATATGTGAAGGATGGGTTACCCATCTCTTTCCTTACTTTCCTATTTTTATATATGATATTTCTTAATAATTTTATGCAATTTTTTAATTTAATTTTTCTTGTACTTGTCAAGAAAAAAAAATTTCTGGTATATTATTGTGTATTAAATTGTGTTGGCATATAAATACTTTTTAATTAATTCGATTATGTATATATTTTGATTAAATTTTTAGTTTTTACATACTTATCAAAAAAACAAAAAAAAAAATTTAGTTTTTACATAATTACATTGGATTGTTATTGTGTGTATTAATGCGTGCTTGTAATAAGACTAAATGGCTCAATTGATTTAGTTTTAAAATTCAAGACTTGTGTTTCTTAAAGGACTTTTATCTTGAAGTGTTTACTTTGCTGTGAGTATATTTGGTACAAATATACAGATCAAACCTTCGGCATTGTTTGTACAAAAGGATTGCCTGCTTTGCACATGATCATTCACAGCACCGGCCTTTATATCGCACCAAGCAATGGCCCTTTCGTAGTGAACATTATTAATATATTTTCTTAATTCAGAGTCAACTGTTCATAAACTAGGAAAGGAAGTCTACAACATTAATTCTGAGAGAAAAAGTTTACAACATTGTATACTAATATTTTGGTTGCCGTTTTTGTTATCTAGATGAGTTTAATTGATTTCAGCAGATTATTTTCATAAAATTGAAGTTTCACACCTAGATAAGTGTTCACATTCCTCCGCTCCCATACACTCTCTCCTGTCCCTTGTATTATCCGAAAAGTTCGCTACTCCATTTAAACAGATTCAGATTAGTAGTCACAGGAAGCACATTGCCATTATCGTATTGAAATTATTATCTAATCCACATCCTATCCAAAAGAGTTGTGGCTTTTAGTTGGCCAATTGAAAGATGAAATGGACTTTTACCCTAAGAAATCACACCGTCCAGAATTTGGGAGGATTAGATCTCTTTACTACTTGTTCAATGGGAGAAGGCATTCTATCCAAGGTTCAGCTAAATATAATGAATAATGATAATTCTAAGAGATGCTCAGAATGATTGATTAAGGTTGTCTTTTCCCATTGGGACATGCATTAATTTGAAATCTGGTAGCCAAAAGTATTGAAGATGTAAATATTTGCAAAATTAATGGTCATTTTAAATTCTTTTGCTGTTATTTGAGACCAGAATATCCTGGTTGTCTCTCAGTACCTGCAGACTGCTTTAATTTGAGTTTTTGTTTCTTTTATTTTGAACTAAAATTGACTTTTGTGCAGGCTTATATGTATGGATTTTTCAAGAACAAGCGCATTGTCCTTTATGACACATTGATTCAGCAGGTGTGGATGCATATTGTATTTGAAAAAAATTATGCTCATTTCCCTATACTTTGTTCATTAAGCTTGAATTGCTGAACTACTTGTGCATATTCTACAAGTAAAGCAAAGCATGTTTTTCACATACTTTACCATTAATACATTGATTTAATTTTGATGTGTGTTTAAGCCAAAAAAGGAAAATGAAAAACCATGTCTGAGGATCATCCCCCCCCCCCCCCCCCCCCCCCCCCCTCCTTTCTCTCTCACACGCGCGCGCGCACACAAAAATAAAACCATTTTTTTGCATCTAGTCTTGAATTTATGCAGTGGTTGATTTGTATATTAAAATGACACAACAACTACTTCAACTGGCACTCCTGTTGTAGCATCAGTATGAAGTTTTTGTATCAGCCCTGTAGTGCAATGAACATCCACAAATTTTCCCCTGTTAGTTTTTCCATAAATAAATGTAAATTGAAACCCTTGTTTGGCCATTATGTCTGATTTTTCTTCTTGATTTGCTTCCGGAATATATAAGAGCCACATTTCTAAACAAGTTCTACAGCTTTTTAAGACTGGGACAAGTTTGGTGTCTTAAAAATGGAGTAACATCCTTTGAGTTCAAGAGTTTCTTGTAAATTTTTAGGTAATTCCCCATTTTTGTTTTGTTTGAATTAGGACTGGTTGAGTTTTTTTTTTTTTTTTAAATGCATTATAAAGATATGTTCCTCTTCTTCTTTTCTATTTTTCTACTTCCATTAGCAATGCCATGTGCTTATTGAACATAATTTAACTCGTATGTACGGTATACCTTGTTCTCTAGTAAGAAAATAACTTCTATGTATAATTAGACATGACCAAATGGCTTGGATATGTGGTTTCCATGTAGTTGATTTTGTTGGGAATATTTTGTTTAATGATGTTTAGTTCTGATGACCATATAAATCTTAAAATGATTATATTTTAATGCTAAAACGTGCTCAACATGATTGTTTCAGTCAATAATTTTGTTCAACTTTGCTTGCTAAATTTTGCAACAAGATTTCTCTTTTCTAATTTATTATATTGTAAACAGTTTTAGGGGATGAAGTAATTTGAGTTTTTTGGTAACCTGCACTTGTCTTGAGCTAGTGTGAGGTAACCCAAAAAACTAAAGTATTCTTACTAGAGAGCACAGTTCTTGTAATGTTCCTTTGCTATGTAGCAGTAGCTTCATCATTTGATATTGAAGGTCCCGGCAAGTTAGGCATCTATATCTTCAGTCAAATTTCTTGGGCAGTGCATGAATTTTGGGCATCATGGGAGTTGTCGGATGTTCTTTTATAGGAAATTAGATTGCATACACTGATGCTGTCATTTATTGATTGAAATAGTGTTATACTTCACAATGCTATAGTTTGGGATCCTTACATATGTGATATTACAAATTGGTGCCTTAAGTGGTAATTCCTCCACTCCCCCCAACAGCCCCACCACCACCACAATGGGAGTGTGCGTGCAAGTTTAATTCTTTTCTTTTCTTTTTTCCTCTTCTATTTTCTCTATTATTCTTTTTCAGTTGACAAAGTGATTTAATGCAGTGCAAAAATGAGGAGGAAGTAGTTGCTGTTATTGCACATGAACTGGGTCATTGGAAGCTTAATCATACAATGTACTCTTTCATCGCTGTTCAGGTATGCTTTAATTATTCTCTTTGAATGTCCCATGATACCCTGCTAGTTATATATATCATGGTTACATATGCATGGGTACTGGTGTCAGATGTCATTAGTTTATAAGTTTTTTTGTAATTGGAGCCAGTGTTTTTAAAGGCATTGGAAATTGTGAAGTCACGCCTGGTTTCTTGTCTTGAGTAGAGGGGTCAATGAAAATTTGAGGCATGGCATCGTGACTCCATGAACATGGTTTCAAATTTGTGATTCATGAAGTTTTCTCCGAGACTAATTAAATTTAGTAAATATAAGATAAAAATGTTGGGAATGTGTTGGGTGGAGGAAAATTAATTATGTTGTCTAGTGTGGAGGATTTTGTTGTCATTTTGCAATTATTATAAAACGTTTTTCCTTAATAATATATTGAATCCGAGAAAAAACTCTCGAAAGCCTTTTTTTTTTTTTTTTTTTTTTTTTTTTCTGGTAAGTAGAAAACTCTAACCATGTAATTACCTTAAAAATTCACCCTAACTAATATTCTAGAACTTATATTTGACTACTAGAAGCTTTGAAATTTAACTAAAAAATCGAAAAAGAAAATATATCAAATAACTTTAACTAATTTATATATATTTTCATATTCAGTCACTTCTGATTGGAAGAAACTTATCCTCTAGTTCAATCCTTTCTTTACAATGAAAAAAACTGTTTGGAATATTTTAAGTTTTAACGACTTCAACTTTTACCCAAATTTGTTCTCCATGAATTGGAATTTCCTTGTCTTCCGTTGACTAAATCATTATGAAATAATATTAAAATTTTCAACATAAAACAGTTTTGTAACTGATTCTTTAATGCAATATTAGTCAAGGAATCCTTTACTTGATCCTAGGATTTGGAAAATATTGACTTGGATTAATTTTTAAGGACTTTTAATGACTTTGACTTGAATAATCTTCGTGGTATTCTTGTTCACCAACTTTAAATATTTTTTCCTCACTCTCTTAACAATTTTGTTTTGAAAGATTCTTGAAACTTAAAATACTTGTTCTATGCACTTGCATTCGTCTTGAACAATCTCCTTGGAATTGTCATTAGAGGCTTTTTGTTGGACCAATCAGTAACCTGGCTATGTCACTAAGGCTCAACTCATGTAGGGGTAATGAACACTGAGCCTGTGTAGGCTTATTTACTTTCATGACTATAGGTCATTTACTATACATTCATTTCTAATTTGTCATATTTTCATGGGAAGTAGAAAGTTATAATATATTGATTTACTTGTGTTTAATTTGTTATCGAATATATCATGGTACTAAACAAGACAATAATCTTGATAACGAGCTTGAATATGAATATGGGACCGATTTCAACTCGTTTTATTAAAGACATGAGCTTGAGCTCAGTTTTTTAGCACGTTATGATCCTGATTCGATCTACAAACAATGGGCTGAGCCCGAACTGACTTCGGCTCGGCTCATTTGAAGCCCTATTTGTCACAAACTTGATATTGCTGTTGCGGCATATACTTCTCAGATATTTGTGCATAATTGGTTCGCAAAACTCTTCCCGTCATTTTCTTCATCATTCATGGCCATGAACAAGTAATTTACCTTTCTGGACTATTTGGACCTCACTTTTAAATGAAATGAGCTTCAAATTTGGGCTTTGCCTCTTCTTGATTTGCAATTTAAATGAGCTTGACAAGTATTTTTTACCTGAATTTTTCTCAACCAGCTCGATTTATTTTTAGCCTAAATATATGTCAACCTCTTCTTTAAGATGCGAAAGAACAATAATATTTTATTTTCTCACCTTCCATTGCTGACTGATAAAGCATGTTTGTTCATGCAAATATTGAATCTTCTTGTCATGTAGCTTGTGATTTATTTGTTGCCTCTTCCCATCCTAGGTCTCTCATGTCTAAATTTCAAATGTTTGATGACGATAAAATTTTGGAGGAGATGCAGTGTATGAATCTTTCAGCTTCCTGTCTTATTCTTTTACATTAATGCAGATTCTCACATTCTTGCAATTCGGAGGATATACACTTGTTAGGAACTCGAATGATCTGTTCCAGAGCTTTGGTTTTGATACGCAGCCAGTCCTCATTGGACTAATAATATTTCAGGTAATAAACAATAGGATTGTCTTGATTTAAAGAATTGTGGTTTGTTTAAGTTGAACACATGTACCCATACACACAGCTTACTCCTGCACTTGTTGTCTTCATACGTCTTGCTATCAATGAATCACTGTTAAGTTAAGAAGTCTAAAGTTGGTGAATTGAGATATTTAAATTACTTGCCTGCTTTGCGATTAAAAATTAATATTTTGGATTTTGGTCAGTGTGATTTATTCCCTTCGCTTTTAGAAGCCCTCCTGTGCTCAATGTCTGGTTAATTTTCTTCTCTTCCAATTTAATCTGTAGCATTAGATTGGATTTTAACTTTTTAGTTTCATAAAATGTCCATAATAAGAATCAAGTCCTCAACAGATGTCTGTGATAACTTTGTCATATTATATAGTAATTTTTTAGTAAACTGCGTTGATCAACAGTTGGTATATGGTTGTTATTCAATGGTTAATCCTTATGTTCAACCTATTAATATATGTTAAAAAGGAAAAAGACACCCTTCATCTCTCTTGTTCAACTTCATCAAATTACCACCCACATTATACTGGAAACCTCCACCTCCTGTACTAGATTTGATGAACCTCTACATCCTCTACCAGATTTGACCACAACTGCAGCTGCTTAACTTACCAATCCAAGTTATCTGTCTGCCTCAGTCCTCACCTCTCTGCTATTAAGAAACTGAAACTTAAATTTCTTAAGAATAAATATATGGATTTTTTTGGTAAGTTTAAATTTCTTAAGAATATGATGTTAAGTGATTACAAATTACTGAAAAAACAAAAAGAAAAACTTAGATTAGGAATGTTAATTTTGCTAATTGAGGTACCAAAAAAAAGGATAGGGAATTTCTATAAATAGAAAGTAGAGAAATAAACCCAAAAGTCTATAGAGGAAGAGGAAAGGAACTAGGAATACTTATCAATAAAAAGGAGAGTAACAAGGAAATTATTTTCCTTTATCCTTGTTATGGTTCTAGAAAAGCTTTTAAAATTAGGCCTGCCATTTCGTCTTTCATACCTTGCAGTGCCTTACAATCAAGCATAAAAACTTTGATAAAGAAGCTAAGAAACCCTCCACTGTTTCTCTATCTCCTCTCTTATTTTTAAACCTCCAATCCACAATTTTATGTCAAACACTGACAATTGAATATATTTTTTTCACTCGTGCCACACATAAGCAATTAAATAGAATAAATCAAAATATATGAAATAATATAATTTTCAGTGTGGATTGGCAAATTTGATGGACTCGTCAAAATTCTTTTACGACCAGGTCTGAGCTTATGATGACTACTCATCACAATTGACCTCTATTTTTTCGCCAGATATCCACTACCATAACTAATTTAATCACATCCTACCACCTCGAACTTTCCCATCACCAAGACGTGAATGGGAAAGAGAATACCATCGTCACCATGGCCTGCTCACGATTATGCGGGGGGAAATAATTTCAGAACTAGTAAAGAGTGAATTTGAACATGAGTTCTTGAAAACTTGCCTCGAAAATAGCATGGAATTATTTTGAAATAGAGAACTTAAAAGAGTCCTTGAAAAGATGTTTTGAACACCAGGGTTCTAGAAACATGGATTTCTCAAAGACTCGAGGAAGAACTTAAGAATTCTTAAAAACTTGGTTTGAAAAACATGACATTCGATTTGAAAATGGCAAGTTTGGCATATGAGCCTTGAAAACATATTTGAAAAATGAGTGTGATTTGAAAGAGTGTTGACTTATGAGTCGAAAGTTGATTTGTTTTGTATGAGTTTCAAGATTAGGTCAAACTATGGAAAACCCAATTGAAGTGCTAAGAGTTGTGAACCTTGGGTCCTTGAATGTCTAAAGGTCATGCTAGATTGGGTGAGTATATTTGATCATTAGGGTTTGTGTACTAGGGTTGAATTGATTTGGATGAGCTTGGAAGGATGGGGAAATAATTCACTGATGGTGGCTGGATTGTAGGTGATGTGGTCTGACAGCTACTGTGATTGTTCTCATTAGTGGTTTGGATTGATGGTGGAGAGTTTGAGGGTCATGATGGTTTGGTAATGGTGATTGACATGGGGAAATGAGGAGATTTTTTTATTTTCCTTTTCTTTTCAAAAGCAATGACCTAAGTTGCCGAGGTGTTGTTAGAGTGAGGTGGTAGTGGCGGTTAGTTTTTGAGCATACATTTTTGGCCAATCAGTGTGGATAAAGCTAGGGAGTTAAGAGAGGAGAGTAGATGCTGGTTGGTTAATTTTAATTGCATGTGTGGCAATCTAAGAGTGGTACTTGTGCCTGTCAAGAAAAGATAAAAGTGCTTGATTTGTTCTCTAATTTGATTTTGTCAATGGTATAATGGGCTTTACTTAGTTGGATTTCTTTCTTATTGGTAAATTGGGATTTTGAACATTATAATTGCTGCCATCAGCTCGATCTGTTGAGTTGATTGTCAACTGACTAATGTATAGGGGAATTTGTTATTTTACTATTAGAATAGAAGTAGGTGCCAGTTTGAGAAAGAGGGTTGATGAGTGTATTTCAGCCTTATTATGGAGGGTTGGTTCAATTCACCATACTAATACTATTTGGTCCTTCACTCTGAAAATGGTGTGCGTTTAACAAAATGAAACTTCATGTGCCATCATGATGCACCCCTATTTTACTGTTTTATTATTATTATTATCATTACTATTATTTTACACCAATCATTGCAGACTGTCACTCAGACTGTTACTCCTACCTAAGCAATACATTAGGTGGCATTGGGTCACCCAATGAGAAGATAAATACATCACTGGTATAATTAGTTGTAGGTCCTATCCAGAAGTTTTGCTGATTTTGGAAACTTAGAAATTCAAACATATCAAGCGTGCATGTTAATAACTTGTCTCACTTAGGCCCTAGGAACTCTTGATGCATAGCAAACTGATCTCTAGGCAGCCCGCTTATATAAGCATTATTATATTCTGATCTTTACTTTGTAATATTTTACCTTATTTTTGTCTGCAGCACACTGTCATACCTCTCCAGCACCTTGTCAGCTTTGGTCTTAATCTTGTAAGCCGATCTTTCGAGTTTCAGGTAGCGTATGATATGCCGACCAGAATTTGGGGTTATAATGTGTCTTTCGCTACAATTTTATTTTTAAACTTGGCACTATATAACTTCTTCTATACATGATCCTTTTACATAGGCTGACGCCTTTGCTAAGAAGCTTGGTTATGCATCAGCACTTCGAGCTGGTCTTGTGAAACTGCAGGTAATTCACTTTTGCTCCCCTCGTATCAATATATTGGTATGTTGTGTTTCTTTTCCTGCTGCTCTTCATATCAGATGTCAGTGAGTGGATCCTTCCACATTTCTCTTATTTTCTCTCACACATGACTTTTTTTCCTTTTCTTTTTTTTTTTTTTTCTTTAATTTGGCAGATTACATAAAGCCCTCTTAACTATTATATTTATCAACTATTACATTTATACATAACACAGGGTATACAAGTCATTCATATGAGTTGATGGAATGACCTTATTTGCAGCTTTTTGATAGTTTAGGGGAGGTTATTTGTTTCACCAAGGACCTGCAGGTTTTCAATAGCTGAGGGGTTTTTCCTGCAATTGGTTTTTTTTTTTTTCTTTTTTGGGGGCAGTGTTGGTTACTTGGCTGTATGGATTGCTCCAATTACTTTCAGGCTATGTTTAGCTGCATGGAATTGGAGCTTGAGCTTGGAATTGGAATTGGAGAAAAGCAACTCAGAAAATTGAACTAAAAAATTCCACCAATTCCATGCATCAGTACACAGCCTCAGTTCTCTCTTCAAGTTGTGGTGGCCCTGCCAATTGATCTCAACAATTTTTTTAGTGTTTTCATTTTTTGGGAAACGCATTATAAATCTATCGGACTTGATCAGAACTTTTTTATGGTATCATGAGTTACATTTCTAATTAATAATCTTAACATTTTTCAGGAAGAAAATTTGTCAGCTATGAACACGGATCCTTGGTACTCTGCTTATCACTATTCTCATCCTCCCCTTGTTGAAAGATTGGCTGCTATTGATGAACCTGATAAAAAGACGGACTGAGGAAATCCTGAAGTGAACACAGAATTAGTTCATTTTATACCTTTGAGTCAGAGCGTCATTTTATACTTTTGGAGTGGAATGTGAGAATCTATAGCTTTAATACCACTTTCCTTGTGAATTCTGTTGGAATCTTACTAAAATTCCACGGAATTAAGGATGAGGAGTAAAAGGAAGGAAAAGTGGTAAAGGAAGTAGCTTAATGTAATTCTAAACTAGATGTGTTTGTTTTGAACTGTTCCAGTCTTGCAATATATCTCTATTTACAAGTATTAGTATAATATCTTGTTCCTTAGTATCTGAATAATCAGTTTGGCAATTCAAAATTTTTGTGCAGCTTTCAACCTCATGATAATCCTATGATGGACGGTCCACAACTATTAGGCATTGGCTGTTTATTTGTTGCACTGAACAACCATAGGGTTATATATATGTGACTTGTTCTAATTTTAGTAAAAAACAGTCTTAAACTACAGCCAAAACAACACTGTTATGTTTTGGTTGTAGTTAGGTCACATTGAGGCACTGGAGTCACTTTCGCATAAGTATATTTTTTAGTCTGTGTTAACTCCTTCTCCTGGGGCTGGAAATTGGTTAGAATTTCTTGAACCCTAGCAGACCGTGGGATTTCTCAAAATTTTCAAGGCTGTAAATCAGTTCAAATGCATTCGGGGTATTCAACCAGACAATTTTAATGCCATTTACAGATATCAAATGTATTCACGGTAATCTAACAGACGAATTTTGAGAGAATTGTTCTATGAACACCCAATAAAAATAAAAAATAAAAAGACGAATTTTGAGATAATTGTACGACTCTTAAAACTCTTTTGTGAATTCTTAAAAATATTTTTCATAAATCTGAATTTAATCCATTATGAGGTTGATGTATGCTATAGAGAAGCGTTGAACATTGACTTCTTTTTCTTTCTTTTCTTTCCCGTGGTTGGCACATGCTATTTTATTCTACGTGGTTCTTAAAATTTTGAATGATAATTTGTTGACAGAAGACTTAACTGGGCAGTTGACGAAGAAAGAGTGGACACAAGTATGTGTAAAATACAACTATAACTAACTATATGGAGAATAATGGACGATGTGATTTGTATATTCGGGAGCTGAGGGATGCAAGTGATGTCATGAGTGCTCAATTCTTTTTCTTATACATTAAATATTAATTATTTAAAATTTTATGTTTGACTCCAAGTCGTTCATCTTTCCGGATTTTCAAATTTTTTTTTATATACATTGATCTGTCTATGTGTGTGTATATATATATACACACACAGAAGAAGATTAAAACTCCCTCCCCCATCCTCTCTCTCTATTTATACACATACACACACAGTAGTCTGCAACTACCGAGTCAATCATGGCGTTTCCGTACATGGAAACTGTTGTTGGTACCATTTCTATCTCTAAATCTCTCTCTCTTCCTGTATCTGTATTGCTTTGTTGCCTTTATTTTGTGGAGCATTTCTATTATATTCAAAATTTTCCTTTTCTTCAATGAAATCTATATTACTGCATGCATTATTCCATTTGTACGGTTTATTGATTAATCGTTTCATTATAAGTTCTATTTTTCAATTCTTGATCAGTGAAAATGGACATTCTTTGGATCACTGATATAGCACAATGATAAAAGAACACATATTCATTTTGAATTTAAAGTATAAGAAAAAGAAAGTTTAGAAATCTTTCATTTTGTTTTTTACATATGAGACCATCTTCTTTCACAATTTGTCTGTCATTGTTAATTGAAAGCAGTTAATGAATCAATTATTTATGTTTATGGTTTCTCAGGTTTTATGATATTCATGTATCTCTTTCACACTTATCTTGACATTCGGCAATATGCTGTTCTTAAGCTGCCCTCACTTCCAAAAACTTTGGAAGGAGTGATCAGCCAAGAAAAGTTCGAAAAATCCCGAGCCTATTCTCTTGATAGAAGGTTTGTTTCAACACATTTTCCTTGACATGTAGATTTATTGAAGCGGGTCATCAAGGTTCTTCATGCAATTTCATCTGCTCTTGTTATTATTATTATTTTCAAAACTTCATACAAACCGCGCACACCCACAATATTGCCCCTAGCATGGCTCAAACGCCCAACCTCCCGTTTGAGGAGGAGAAATCGTTAACATCTGGACTAATGCCTATTGGAGGTGATTTATATGCTCCTATTACTAATGCAACCTTTCTTTTTTGGTTTGGATTTTTCTGTAACTTCCAGCCGCTTCCGTTTTGTTCACAAGTTTGTAACTATAGTGTTGCACTCTGCAATTTTGTTATCGCGGTTATTTCCCTGGTTCTGGAAGGTGAGTGGTTCAGTGGTGGCTTTGAGGGCCCCTTTTAAGGTTGGAGTATTCTTGAGTTACTATTCTTTTTCTTTAATTAAAATTTGTATCTACTACAGAGATCAGGAGACTTTTTGGTTTTTATTGGCCTCGATGCCGAGAATGAAATATTACAGTCTCTTGCATTCTTAGCTGGTGCTATGATTTGGTCACAGGTACATACATGAACTCTCCTATTTCATTGTGTAATGTGTACAATGAAATTCCACTAGAATAATTTTAGGTTTTCTTCGGGTATCAAGATCTGCTTAGGAGAAATGACTAAAGATAATATATATACACACACATATCTAAAGATCATATATATATATATATACATTGTACATCCATCATAATAAAAAGGTTTATTGGATGGACAATGAAATTCGACTAGAATGATTATATTCTGTAGTAAGATACTATGATCTGTTTGGCAACACTTATAAAAAGTGATATATATATATATATATATATATATATATATATTGGGAATGAAATCACAATGCAATGACCATGATATGTTTTTCGAATTCCTCTGCAGATTACTTATTTGCCTTTTTCTCTGTACTCAACATTTGTGATCGAGGCCCACCATGGTTTCAACAAAGTTTGTATTCTTCCTTTGATCTTTCGTCATGTTTAGGGCACTATTTTTTTTTTTGTCTGTTGCTCTTTTCTTTTTGGTTGAATTGTTTTCTAAAATATATACATTTATGTTTTACAGCAAACAATATGGTTATTCATTAGGGACATGATTAAAGAAATCGTCCTATCCATTATAATTGGGCCGCCTATTGTGGCTGCAGTCATTGTAATAGTACAGGTAGAGTAATTTGTTAGTTTCCAAACTGATAATATTCACTTGTTGCATGTTCCTATACAATATGAAGTGACTGTCATGTTTGGATTAATAGCCTGCTATTTTTGGATCTGGTGTTTTGCATGCTGTTCCATTTCTACTTGCATTGATTTTAAATACCGGAATTCCTCTTCGGTTATTACTGACTAATGATGCAGAATGGAGGTCCCTATATTGCCATCTATCTTTGGGCGTTTCTGCTTGTTCTGTCCCTCATGATGATGACTCTTTATCCGATTTTAATAGCACCGCTTTTCAACAAGTTCACACCAGTGAGTATCAGAATTTATTTCTATTAATTATTGAAGAAAATCCAACCAGGCAATGTATGTATAGTTTTACAATAATTCTATGTCATCTTGCAACAAATGTATAGCTTCCAGATGGAGAGCTTAGGGTGAAAATTGAGAATCTTGCTTCGTCCCTCAAGTTTCCCTTAAAGAAGTTGTTCGTTGTTGATGGATCCAAAAGGTCAAGCCATAGCAATGTGAGGATTTTTCTGGTGTATTGAAAAAGGACTACGCATCTTTAAAATTTCACGTGCTTCATTTTTTTTTCGATAAATAAAAAAATGTTATAAAAACATTGAAATGTTATAAAATGTATATGCTTCATTTTTACTCGCTTGATAATTGCTTTAATTTGAGTTAAAATTGCAATGCAGGCATATATGTATGGATTCTTCAAGAACAAGCGCATTGTCCTTTATGACACATTGATTCAACAGGTGTGGAGGCACATATCGTGTTTGAAAAATAACGACGTTCATTTTCCTATATTCTGTTCATTAGGCTTGAATTGCTGAAATTATGCATATTCTATACGGAAAGCACTTTGAGATGAAGAGGTTCTTGGTAACCTGCACTAAGCTAGTGTGAGGTTATCTATACCCAAAAGAACTGAAAACTTTGTTAATTTTGTATGTTTTGATCTTTTCACGACAGAACACCAGTCAAGCACACACATGCTCCCTTTTTTTTCCCTTCTCTTTGTATTCCTAGAAGGCTTGAAGTATTGATAGCCTCTAAAGTACATTTTATAGGAGAGTTTAGTTGATTGAGTGAATGAAAGATTTGATGAATAATATTCTTACACTTATACTTCACAATGCTATAGTTTGGGTCCTTTGGGATTGTTGCATATGTGATATATTTTGAATTGGGACAAAGCGGTACCTTGAGTGTTAACTCCTCCACTCTGCCCCAACAGCCCCCCTCATTCCTCTCACCCCCCCTAAATTGGGAGGTAAGTGTTCAAGTCCTTCACGTTAAACGGCACTCTCCCACCCAAAAATAAATAAAGTAAAATAAAATAAAATAAAATGAATTCATATCTAAAGTCATGTAGCATCAGGTCTAAGGTTCGACTCCTATTGTGTGCAAACAATTCTTTGGAGGGGGATGAGTATCGACTAGGAAAAGAAAAGAAAAAAGTCATGTAGATACACATTTTTTAGGGCTTGCAGTGTTAAAATGCCTTCTTTTCCTTTTTCTTTTCTTTTTTTTCCTCTTATGTTTTCTTGATTCTTCTTCTTTCAGTTGACTAAGTGATTTAATGCAGTGCAAAAATGAGGAGGAAATCGTTGCTGTTATTGCACATGAACTGGGTCATTGGAAGCTTAATCATACAATTTACTTTTTCATTGCTTTTCAGGTATGCTTTAGTTATATATTATCATTGTTACATGTGCAGGATGTCTTTAGTTTTTTTTCCCGTAACTATAGCCACTGGCATGTGAAATTGTGAAGGTCAGACCTTGTTTCTTTTCTTGAGGCATAGCATTATGGCTCCTTCCGCATGGTATCAAACTATGGATTCATTAAGTTTTCTCCAAGATTAAATTCAGTAGAATATATGGTATGCGAATATATTTGGCGGAGGAAAATTAATGCCTAGTAGAGGATTTTGTTTTCATTTTTCTATTATTTATGACTTCGCTCATGCAATCTACTTCTCCATGGTTGTTCAATCCTTCTAATCTACGCTTGATCAGTTGAATTGATCTATCCTTGATCAGTTGAATTGATCTATCTCAGTTTGTCTTGTGATCTCCTTGTTCTCTCTCTAGAATGCTTAGAGACTTCAATCCATAACTTTGATTGACTATAATTATTGTTTTACCCAACCCATTCATAAACAGCTTGGTTTATTCGTAGCCTACACGCATGTTAAATTATTCTTTTATCCTACACACATGTTAATATATTATTTTCTGACCTTCTATTGCTGACTGAAAAAAGCATGTTTCATGTGACATATTGAATCTTCGTCATGTAACTTGTAATTTAATGTTGCCTCTTTCCATCCCAGTTGTTTCATGTCTAAAATTTCAAATGTTTGATGACATTAATATTTTTGAGGAGCTGCAATACGACACTTAAAGCTTCCTGCCTTATTCTTCTACACCAATGCAGGTTCTTACATTTTTGAAATTGGGAGGATATAGTCTTGTGAGACACTCAAAGGATCTGTTCCGGAGTTTTGGTTTTCATACGCAGCCAGTCCTCATTGGACTGATTATATTTGAGGTAATAATATGATTATCTTGAAGTAAAGAAATTCGGTTTGTTTAAGTCGAACACGTGTATGTTACCTCATTTATATTGTTGCTTCTCTTAATATGTCTTGCTCTGTTCAATACTTGGGAACTATTACTCCAAGCATTTTTCTTTCACATTTAGAAGATATCTCTATACCTCATTTATATTGTTGCTTCACCTTCATGACATGCGTAGCATGTTCAATGAATCATTGGTAAGTTAAGAATGCTAAAGTTGGTGCATTGAGATATTTAAATTATTTGCATGATTTGAGATTAAGAATTTGGATTTTAGCAAGTGCAAATTCTACCTTTCTCTTTTAGAAGGTGTTTTGTGCTCAATATCTGGTTAATTTTCTTTTCTCTTCCAAATTGGTTTGCAGCATTAGATTGGATTTTCACATTTTAGTTTCATGAAATGTCTATAATTAAGAATCAAGGCCTCAGCAAATGTCTCTGATAATTTAATCGATATTTTGTTTTCAGAAAAGGATTTAAAAACATGGTTTTGAGGAGGTTAAATCATATCAGTTCTGGGGACTGAAATGAAGAAAAGTGATATGGTTTTTCTAATACAAATAATAAGGTTTTTTTTTTTTTTGAAATAAAGTTGCGTTGATCAACAATTGCTATATGGTTGTTATTCAATGGTTAATCATTATGTTTGACGTAGTTGATACTATTTGTTAATAAGGAAAAGGATGCCCTTCATCTCTCTTGTCAACTTCATCAAATTACCACCCACATTACACTGGCAACCTCCACCTCCTCCGCTTGATTCGACCACCACTGCAGCTGCTTAAATTACCGACCAAAATTATCTGTCTCCCTTACTCCTCCCCTCTCTACAATTAGAACACTGAAACTTCAATTTCTTATCAATATGATTTCAAGTGATTGCAAATTTCCATGGACAAATGAAAAGAAAAAACTTAGATTATGGGTTTTAATATTTCTAATGGAAGTACCATTAGCAAAATGCATAGTAGGTGAAATGACGAGTAAGAAACCCAAAATAGATTGGGAATGTCAATAGATAAAAACTAGAGAAATAAACCCAAAAGTCTAGAAAGATATAATAGAGAGAAGAGGAGAGAAACTAGGGAATTGTATTCCTTTAGCCTTGTTATGGTTCTGGAAATGCTTCTAAAATTAGACCTGCCACATCTTATTTCATTACTTGCAATGCCTTCAATAAAACTTAAAACTTTGATACGGAAGCTATGAAACTCTCTTCTGCTCTCTCTTCTCCTTTTTTTTAAACCTACGACCACCCTGTTATGTCAAACAAAGACAGTTGAATGTAATTTTTTTAACTAGAATGAATTACAATGCATAGTAGGCAACATGACGGGTAATAGGAAGGAATGGAGAAACATAATTCACGTGTCGAACCCCATTCATATGGGATTAAGGCAAGGATGATGATGACGATGAATTACAATGCATCGTAGAATATAATTCCCAATGTGGATTTGGCAAAATTAGTGGACTCATTGGATATAGACAAGGTCCGAGCTTATGTTTTATGTGAGATTAACTGATTCCAGACTTCCATTTTTGTTTTCTGTTTCATTTGAAAAAATAAATACATCACGGGTATAATTAGTTTTCTTGATTTCCAAGACTTGCCATACTCAAGTATACACGTTTGCCTGTTATAACATGTCTCACTTAGGCCCAAGGAATTCTTGATGGATAGCAAACTGATCTTTAGGCAGCCGACTTTTAAAAGCATTATATTCTGAATGAATATGCAATTTCAAGGATTCTTCTTTTGGAGGAGGAAAAAATCGATAACTTTGCTTTGTAATATTTTACCTGATCTTGTTGATTGCAGCTCATTGTACTACCTCTCCAGAATCTAGTCAGCTTTGGTATGAATCTTGTAAGCCGATCTTTTGAGTTTCAGGTAGTGTATGATATGCAGAACCAGAATTTTGGTTATAATGCTTCTTTCAATACAATTTTGATTTGAACATTGGTGCTATATGTTAGAGGATATAAATATTGACGTTACACCCTCTCTAATAGCTTAAGCATTTAGAGTAGATGGTTGTTAACATGATAAAACACGATGTGAACCAAAAGGTCACATATGAAAGCTTAAACTTTTAGAGTAGATTGTGTTTAACACTAAATAACTTCCATACATGATTTGTTTACATAGGCTGACGCCTTTGCTAAGAAGCTTGGTTATGCAGCAGCACTTCGAGCCAGTCTTGTGAAACTGCAGGTAATTTTACTTTTGTTTCCCTCTTCATGTCAGTGATGATGATGGAGTCCCTCCTTATTTCTTTTGATGGTTTTTTTTATTTTTTATGTTATTTTTCTTTTGGTGGTTTCCGTGGCCTGCCAATTGATCTAGAAAAATTTTGTAGCATTTTTATCTTTTTGGGAACACATTATAAATCTATCGAACTTGATCAAAACTTTTTGATGTTGTCATGTTATACATTTCTGATTAATAATCTTAACATTTTTCAGGAAGAAAACTTGTCAGCTATGAACACAGATCCTTGGTACTCTGCTTATCACTATTCTCATCCTCCCCTTGTTGAAAGATTGGCTGCAATTGATGAACAGCAAAAAAGAGAGACCGAGGGAAGATAAAAAGAGAGACCGAGGGAAGCGTGGGAATCCTGAAGTGAACACATAATTAGTTCATTTTATGCTTTCGAGCATCATTTTATACTCGTGAAGCAGAACGTTGCAAATGCGAGAATCTATATAGCTTTAATACCACTTTCCACGGAATTACAAATGAGGTACAAAAAAGAAGGAAAACTGGTAGAGGAAGTAGCTTAATGTAACTGAATTGTACTTGGACCTGTCAACAGTGACGGAACTAGTTTTTTTTTTTTGGTTTTGTTTTGAACTGTTCCAGTCTTGCAATATACAAGTATTAATAAATATTTTGTTCCTTGGTATCTGAATAATCAGTTTGGCAATTCAAGATTTTTCTGCAGCTTGCAACCTCATGATAAACCTATGAGGAATGATGGACAACAAGCTTGCATTGGCTGTTTATTTGCTGCTCTCAACAATCATAGGGTTGTGTATCTCTGTGACTTGTCCTCATTTTAGTCACACTTTTAAACTGCCTCTCTTGCACTACAGCACCGTCATATTATTTGATATGAAATGAGTTTTGCATGGTAGGTCTGGTGAGTGTTTTTTTTTTTCTTTCTTTGGATGAAATTTTCATTTATACAGTGAATGAATATGTATGAAATGTAGGAGAATTTTTGTTTAACATGTTAGAAGCCTTGTTCATGGTTTTCTAACTACTACATCATGACTATGACTAGAGACTGGAGCCAGAAATTATGTTCAGGGGCACAATGTAATAAAAATTTTTGAGGCAGGGCAAATTTAAAATTTATAGAATTATACAAAAAAACAAAAAAAAAAAAAAATGAAAATTTCTAAAGTTGATGTGGGTGGAAATTAAAATTTTAAATAAATATACATGCAAAAGTGAAATTTTTTAAAGTTGAGGGGCAGAAATTAAAATTTTAAAAATATACATGCAAAAATGAAAATTTTAAAAGTGGGCAATTTTTTAATTTTAAAAAATTATACATATAAAAATGCAATTTTTTAAAAGTTGAGGGGCACATGTCCCGCGTGAGCCTGAACTGGTTCCGTCCTTAACTATGACATCTCAACTAATTGGGATTGAAATTTTAAAAAAAATGCATTCGAAATATTCTACCACGCTATTTTAATGCCATTTTTAGATATCAAATGCTTTCACCTTAATCAAACCTATTTTGAGAGAATTGTTTTTCTTTTAAAACTGTTTTACCAGTTATTAAAAATTGTTTTCATAAAACTAAACTTGATCCATTCTGGCTGATACATGCTACAGAGAAGGGTTGAACTTTGACTCTTAAAAATTGATTTATGTTGGTACATGCTATTCCATCACAGGGCCTTTTCGTGTTTTGTCTCCCTCTAGATCGACTACATAGACTACACACACTCTTATCTCTATCTCTGTAAAAACATAATGTGTGATTCTAAACGCAAATGGATAGGTGTAATTCACAATTATACCTAAAAGTTTAACATATTATTTTTAATTCTTCGATGTTATTTTCATTTGAACTTGCAAAGGCCTTGTTGCAATCGGATCACCCTACTAACTCGGGTGTGCACTCGGACTCCGAGCCAGAGGTTTGGCATGCACCCAAAGACTCGGCATGCACCTAGAGACTCAGCGTTGCCTCTAATACCAATAATAACGGGTGAAGTGCTTCACAATCCAACTCATACATATTTAAGAGCCAGTTTTGGATTGCTTTTTTTATTAGCTAAAAATACTTTTATTTTGAAAAAAAATATGTTATAGATGTGTTTAGTAACTTATAGGGAAACATAAACCTAACCTAACGATAGAGGCAACTAAGTATTGATCAGTCGCCAGATCTCTTCTACTTTCGAAAGATAATATTTCGTTATCAAGGATAACGATTTCCATTGGATAAGTTCCATGGGATAATAACAAATCTTATTAAGGATAAGATTTTCATGGGATAATGATTATAATATTCCCTTGTCAAGAATAAGGGAAGTGACGATAAATAGGGAGACGACTCGGGAATAAGGTACGACGAAAAAACTATTATTAAATCCATGCCTTTCTTTTAGACCTCCGGTGACTAACTTGATCGTCGGAAAGCTCTTGGCAGACACCACACTGGTGCCGTCAAGATTTGAAATACCCCGTATTTTATTAAAGAGTTTAGTTTATTTAATTAATTAATGTGTAGATTTCTTTACCATTCTTATATTGAGTTCATTTAATGGTGCATGTATTATTATTAATAATTTTATTTGGTTGATTATGTTTAATTAAGCATTATTAGTTAATTAAAGTATTATATTTGTATTATAAAGTATTATGATGATATAATGTATTTTTATGTAATAATAATAATAATAATTATAATAGTTTAATAATAATAATATTTATAATAATAATAATTATAATAGTTTATTAATAATAATAATAATAATAATAATAGTATTAAATCATAAGTCATGATGAAATTAGAGATTAGGATAGGATTTCATTAATGTTTATGGGTACGACTTGAAGCCATATGGTTGGGAATGTGGTTAGTTAAATGCAAAATTAGATATTTGTAATATTTATATTATATAAATTGTATATAAATTGCTAGCCTACCTTAGAAGGAATGGAAGGGAGTTAGAAAAAGTTATAACTTTTAGTGAGCCATTGTAAAAGTGTGGAAAGGAAGAGAGAGAAAGAAAGGAGTTTGGACCGGTGTAGGAGAAATTTACCCGACTACGCGCAACCGGCGGATTTATTTTAAATCCAAAAAGGCAAGTTATTATCTACTTTTCCCCTTTGAATTAATAAATTAATTGTTTAGTTTATTTTCATGCATAAAGACCAGGTTATGAGGTTAATAAATTATTAATTTTAGTTTATTAAATTAATGAAATTTTAATTATATAGGATGGTATATATTTATTTAATATCCTATGAAATTAATAATGGCTGAAAATAATTAAATAAGGTTTTAGGGAATTTTCTAGATTTTTCCGGGGCTTTTCTGCAATTTCCGGCGAGTTTTCCGGCCACCGGCAGTGAGGAAGGTGACCGGAGTTATCTGGTGTGTTGCGGTGTATTGTAACAAGCATGCGCATGGATCAGCAGCCGTTAGATGGGTTGTGAATCCTTAGATTGATTCGGTGTAGCGCGGGACACCATATGATGGTGCACGCTAATCATCAGCCGCAGGATGAAAGGAGCATAGGTGGATTGATCCGGTGTGGCGCGCATGTAGGAAAGATGATGCAGCCAACCAACCGGAGGACGCCGCGTCAGCAAGAAGCCATCAACGCGCGCGTGGGAGCACGTGCGCGCGCGTGGAACTCTCCAGACGCGCGTGGAAGCGCGTGGGAGAGTGGGGAAGGTTGGGCTGCGCGTGGGGAAGCTTAGGGCAGCGCGTGGGGGCGCGTGAGGGGCCCTGTCAGCTGCTGGAAATTACCAGAATACCCCTAGGGCCTGTTTTGTAAATTCCAGAACCTTAAACTTGGATTTTTAGGTACTGTGTTGGTATTTACGGGTTTAACGGGCCATGGAATTATTATTTTAATACCCGTTACTTATTCTTATGGCCGATTAATCTTTTCTAAGCATGTATTGGCTCGTTTACAGTACGGATATTAATGTGATTTATTTAACGACATTGTTAAATATAAATAGTGTTATTATCTTATTAAATGGTATCAAACATTACTGTTAAATTAAATAATGCCATGGTTTTAGTCATATAAATTATCCATGATATCTTATGGGATGTTTATACTGTTAAATGATATATAAACCATGATTATTATGCTGTGTGCATTTCAGGAAATAAATGGACTGTTTAATTATGTCGCATTTATATTATATGGATGTGTTGCCATATAGAACCATGTGAGCTGGCTAATAAGTTTAGACTCATTTATACCTTATGCATCCGTTGCGATAGACAGATGTATGGCTGTCGGGGTATGTGGTTTAATATTATTGGCATGTGTTGCCTAATTGACATACTCGGTATATTTATTAATATTGTTGGCATGTGTTGCCTAATTGATATGCTCAGTATATTCTTCAGTACATTGAGAGGTGTCATCACTGTGTAGTTCGTTATAATCTGTGTTGTCAGTATCGTGCACCATGTATAATAGTTGATTTCCTGGGTAGGGAAAGGCGACACTTACCAACCTAGTGTGAGTCTAAGTGATCACCGTCTATTCTGGTTGAGGTCATGTTATACATTGGATAGTTCCCTTAGGATGTATGCAAATATAGTACTCGTCCGATTCATAATGATTAATTTATTTGATTCTCTGATTTGGGTCATAGTAGAGAGGACTTGCTCGTGGGGTTAACCCACCATTGTTCTTATTTCAGGATACGGTTAGTACCCGTTCCAAGGTTGAGGTTAGCAGTGAGGGACCACCATCTGAACTCATCTACTCTTACGGTCCAGTTCAGGGTAGAAGTTTTATGTATTACTTCAGTTTCAGTTTTTATTTACTTTTGACGTTGAACTCTCAGGTTTATATTTAGGGATCCTTGACATATGATTTCCAAGTTGTAATGGAGTACTGTATTAAATAAAGGATGGATGGATGTTGTATTGTTTAGTGTTCCTTTCCTGTCTAAATTCTTTATTTATCATCATTTTGTATTCTATGCTTGTATATTGCCAATTGTTTTTTATATCCCTTATTTTTCGTGTATAAGCCTGATCAACTTATGCGTGGAAAATGTTGGGGGTGTTACAAGATTCATCAATCTTCTACTCTCTTCTTTGCAGGAAAATGGTGTTGTATCAGACCGCGTGGATTTTACCCTCAAAAGTTGGCGCCGTTTATGGGAACTACGATTCCCTTAAATTAATTACTCGATTGGGTATATGCACTTGTGGTCCGGTATGGTAACTGGAACAGAAACATCGTTGCAGGGATCCAGTCAAAGAAAATGGTCGAGTGAGCACCCAGACGTCCCGAATGACCAGGAACGGCTTGCAGCGTTAGAACTACAGGTCCAAACTCTGCATCAGAGTATGGACCAGTTGATCCAACAAAATGCAGAGATTCTGTGACATCTTACCCCAGTGGGACCACCACCTCAACAAGAATTGTCCGACCCATGTCCTCCCAATTTGAATGATGAAGGACAACACGAGGAGGACCGAGAAAACAATCATTCTCACAAGTTCGAGGTAGAACAAAGCCAAGTCGGAAACCGACACAAAGAATCTCCTTCCCCGCCTCCAGGAATCCCTTGTCTCAAACAGGCACAACCTTTTTGTTAAGGAAAAGACAGAAAGTTACATATTTCGACCTACAGATCGAGGATCCCAAAGCAAAAATGGAAGATGTAATATAGGCTATGAAAGGG